TGTCCAGAACCTTGTGCAGAGTAGACTCGACCGGAAAGCCAGTGTGCAGGAAATGCTTATAGAAAGCTTTCTTCGACTCTTGGGTAAAGATGCGTGCAATACCCGACGAATCGAACTGCGGACGTCCAGCGCGGCCCAGCATTTGCAGCACGTCGGTCAAGTCCATGTCTCTGTAACCTTCAATTTTCGCGTCGAAATACTGCGTGCCTTTGACTACAACAAGATGCGCCGGAAGGTTGACACCCCATGCGAGGGTACTCGTTGCCACGAGAATCTGGATCTTGTTGTTCGCGAAAAGTTCCTCCGCCAGCTGTCGATCAGACTCGACTAGACCAGCATGGTGCAAGCCAATACCGAAATTGAGTGCCTCGCGGAGCGCTTCGTCTTTGACTCTCGTGAGATTGAGTTGCAGATCGTCCTCCGACATACGCACGAAGCGTCGCGGATTGTCTTCCATGCCGCAGTAATTTATCAGGTCTTTCGCAGTCAGTCGAGTTTGTCTTCGAGATGCGACAAAGACGATCACAGGCTTCTCCGGAGAGTGGCTCTTGATTGCAAGGAACGTAGGACGGTTCATAGACTGCATAAGCGGGCAGAAGCCACGTTGCTCAGGGAATCCATCAATGTAGATCTCCAAGGGTACTGGACGCACAGAGTGTCGAAAATTGAACAGTCCCTCTTTGACGCCCAGCCAGTTGGCCAGATCACTGGCATTTGCGCAAGCCGTAGACATACCCATCAGCCGAACAGAACCCTTGGATTGCGATGCAATATAGTTCATACGGGACACGATAATCTCCAGAATGGGGCCTCGGTCACCACCCAACAAGTGAATTTCGTCGATGATCACCAAGCTCACTTTCCGCACATAATCTCTGGTCTGCCAACTACGAGAGATACCGTCCCATTTCTCAGGAGTCGTGATAATGATATCCGCGTCCCGGATGGTCCTCGTATCAGGAGTGTTGTCACCTGTCAACTCGACCAACTTCAGACCCATCGGTGCGGTGAGACGCTTACCCCAGTCCATGACTCGCTCGCGGACGAGAGCTTTCATCGGCGCAATATACACTACCTTTGAGCCTGGTTTCTCCCTGAAAGCCCACCACATTGCCAGCTCACAGGCCACTGTCTTTCCACTTCCAGTTGGAGAACCGAGGAGAACATTGGCTGGAGTGTGGTACAGCAGATGGAAGATCTGTGTCTGCATTGGGTTGAAGAACTGGAACCGTTGACCGTAAAGTTCTTCCAGGATAGGGTTGTTAAGGGCAGAGATAGGTAGCGGCTGTAGATTAAGGAGATCCGTATACACGCTTTCCGTGTCTGGACGGATCAGATGCTGGAAAGAGACGGGCGTCACTGTCTCCGCACCTAACCAGCGATCAGAGATTGCACGAACGTAGATCTGGCTCGGCAAGGGATCTGAGAGCGGAATAGTAAAGTTGAGCTCATGTTCATCATGCAACTTCTTCCGACTGAGAATGAAGTATTCGTGGTGATAAATTTCCGAGGTTTCCGAATTCTCGACCCAGATCCAGTATGCTTCGGACGCTCCATGGTGCCTGTCGTTCCAAGTGAACTCGGGATACAGACTCAGCCGGATTCGCAAAACGTCACGATTTAGAGGAGCAATCTCGGCCTCCACGCTGAGAGTAGGGAAATTGTCCAGTAATTTGGACAGCGTCTTTCCCATGCGCTGGTTATGGACGAGCTGGCCAATTTCGGCAACGTCCATTTCCCTCATCGACTCCAGTGAGGAAGTGGGCAACTTCTCATCTAGATTCTTGAGGATCGGCTGGGGGAGATCGAACTGATGAAATGGGTGATCGAACGGCCAGATCTGTTTCTCAATAGACTTGCAGAGCGACAGAAGCACCTGGCATTGATAACCCCACCGGCGGTTCAACGCAATCATGAAGAGAGCACGGCAGATACGAGCAGCATTCTGCGCTACGTAGCCCATATCGGAAACCAGAGCAAAGTCCTCGAGCTTTGCGCGGGAGATGTACGACTGCAGAAGGATATTGGTCTTCGCATGAGGAGAATCGTTGCCACCGTCGACTTCTGTCTGGATAGCTTCTTCACGAAGCCGGTCTAGCTCTTTCGACTCGTTTTCCCGAGCTTGGATGTTGTCAAATTCGCCACTCATACTGATCATCTTCAGGATATCTGCCTCTCCAGAACGAGGGCGCATCATCTCGTTGAAAATCTCAATACTGGTTTGCAAAACGTAATACTGACTCGCAATACGCCCGACGTCCTTTGCCCGCAATTCCTCAGTTTTCTCATTGAATATGATCATCTGACTCTTTTGCAAGACACGCGCAGCCTGAATGATCAGTTGGCGCCGTCTCTGCACCAACATGGGGTCATCGCGTATCTCAGCAAAATCGATGCCGTAATTTCGCGGCTCGCGCAACATGCGGACAAAAAGATACGAGTAACCGAGCCATTGCACACCCTCGGAAACAGACGTGACTGTACCGAGCGAGATCTCGGCGTTCAGGTTGTCCACAAGTCGACTGGAGAATCGAGATTCAATCGGCTGCTGCGAGGTCACTGCAGACAGGTAGTGGTTGAGTTTGTCGTGTGTAGTGCAGATGAAGCCAATACCAGTATCTTGGAATTGGGGGCGTCCAGCACGCCCGAAGATCTGCAGGACATCAAGGATACCGAGGTCGACAAATTTACCTTCCTGGGGATTATACAGCTGGGTGCCTTTGATCACGACTGCAGCGGCGGGAAGGTTAACACCCCAGGCAAGAGTGGCAGTACAGCAAAGCACCTTGATCAGGCCCTCGGAGAACATTCGCTCCATCAAGTTGCGGTCACTTCGAGTCATTCCAGCATGGTGAGTACCAAATCCGCTGGCGAACAGGTCCCTCAACTCACGGGCTCGCGCATGCTTCATATCTCTGAGGGCGTTAGAGTAGTTCTCGTGTTCATGGCAGCTGAAGAGGTCTTCACAGCCATTCTCGACAGCCATTTGTCGCAGCATTCGGGCGGTCAAAACAGTGTCTTTCCGTGAATGCACAAAGACCATGATTTGATGCCCTCGCTCGAGCATCTCACGCACTTTCTCGAAGGCCACGATGTCCAGATTTTCGCGGGATTGTTTCGAGCCCGCCTTTCCTTTCACACCAATGAAATGCTGTTCGAGAGGGACTGGTCTAAACGACGCATCAAAGAAGAACAGTCCAGCCATCTTGTTCACTTTCAGAAACTCGGCTACGTCGACATAGTTCGGCAGAGTAGCGGAAAGGCCAACTATACGAATGAGCGACTGTGTACTTTCAACCTGTCGCTGCGTCCGCGCAACTAGAGATTCTATGACGGCACCACGTTCATCGTGAAGCATGTGGACCTCATCAATGATCAAGAGGCGCACTTTCTGCACGAGCTCCGTGTCTCCTGTGCTCTTCCGGGTGACGACATCCCACTTCTCAGGAGTCGTGACAATAATCTGCGTTTCGACAATCTCGCGCTTCGTAAGTTGCATATCCCCAGTCAATTCCCTGACTCGAACACCAAGCCATGCAAGCCTTTTCCCGAGTTTCTCGGTGACCTCCGCGGCCAAGGCCTTCATCGGTGCCACATAGACAATCTTGAAGTCGTCCACCTGTACTGCAAACTCCGTAGCATCTGGCTGTTCAATAGGGTTCGGCATTGTATTCTTGCCAATCGTATTAAGGATCGTCAGCATGGCAGCGTCAGTCTTACCAGCACCAGTCGGCGCACAAATGAGCATGTTTTCACTGGTTTTGTAGGCCACATCATAGAGCAGACTCTGCATCCGATTCAGCGTCTTGTAGCCCTTGAAGGTCCCCCGACACAGTCCATCCAGCGACTTGATCTCAACCAACTTCTGCGACGACGCCAGCGTACCCACCCTCGATGCCGGGATCTCGAACTCGGTATACCGCTGCTCATCAATCTGCTTGCTACCCACAGGGAGCCCATATCTCTTCCCACCCAGCGCAAGCGTATTCCTGGAATCATGCGTCTTGAAGACATGCGGGTACCTGGCTTCAGATCTCGCCTGCTCAGGTAATAACGGCGCATGCTTATGCTCAAAGTCCTGCTGCCGCAACGCCTGTTCCCGCTCGGCCCTCGTTTGTAACTTTCCACTCATGAGACCGTCTGTCTGGGCCTCTGTCTTCGAGGTCATAGAGGCGAGAATCTCCGCTCGGTGCCCGATCAATTCAATGACGAACTCGAGATCGTCGAACCCAACAATCTCGGCCAGCGACATCTGCAGCTCGTCATCTCCGCTGTCGGCGGCTAGTGAAGCCGTGATCTGCTGGGATAGTTCTTGCGCGCTCATTCCGGGTTTCTGGAGGGTGATGGCCTGGCATTTCTGTTCCAGCCATGCTTGGTCGTAGAGGGAGGTTGACGGCGCCGGAGGGAGAGGTACGCCGTTGATGTCGTCGAGGTCATCGGTTGTTTCATCATCGGAGCTGATAATATCCCAGATATCGTCCACAGTTCCTGGCGAAGAGTAGTCATCGTCGAGGTCCAAATCTAAATCGCTTCCGTAGCTGAGCTGTTCAGTGGCGGGGTCCTTTGGGAGCTTCAACGCCGCAATCGCCTCGCGCATTGCTTTGAGTTGGGAGAGCCACTGCTCTGTAGGTCCTGCTCCTTCCATTTTGACTGGAATTTGAGGTCTAAAAAATCTTCTATAAAAATAAGAAATTATCAGATCGGAACAGGGTATAGAGTCAGAGCAGAATCTCCGGTGCTGAGATTAAGAACTAGTGTGTCATAACATAGCTGGCAGATTAAGCCGAATCCGCCACGGGCTTCGGTGTTGGCCTGGGGCATCCGCCACCGTCAGATTGCGGAGTAAGGAAACATCGCTTGGAGTCACCGCATGAACGTCCACAAAGATAACCTGGTTATCTTTTATTAATCCATCTAGTGGTTTCAACGCTAAAGTCTGCGAAGGTAAAAGTGTTTCCAATCTCTCAAATGCGTACCATGATACAAAAACCAATTCAGACCAGGGTTTCACATGTTCTATGTACATGGGCCTCAGGAAAGCCATATAGATCCAAAGCATGCCTTCTGGACAATCTCTAGTCATACCTCGCAAAGTGGACGGCAGAAGGCTCTTTATGCCTGGCTAGCGTCGCACATTCCAAGAGATATAATACTCCAACTTTGCCAGACACTGGCCTTTCTCTTTGAGGTACGAACAGTCCAGAGAGTCCTCAACATGCTGGAATAATCCAGAGAGCTTCGAGCAGAACTTATCACAGCCAGGGCAAATGTAATCCCCGTCTATATCGATGTACTTGCGACTCTGATAGCACTGACGCGCCAGGTGGTTGATATCATCAATGTCTGTTCCGGAGGGACAGCTGCCTGACTCGAGATGGATCAACATGCCTGAGAAAGTCTTGAAGTATTGATAGCAGCCGTAGCATTGCAAATTCCTAGCCTGGTGGCGCTGCTGATGCTGCAGGTTACGAATAGTTAGCGACATCTGGAGAGAACGATATGAAAAGCCAACTTGCCATTCGTAGGTCGTTCTCATTGTCAAAGTATGTGCCGCAAATGTCACATAGGTTGTGATGGTCGACGCGATGGGCCTTCAGTTCCCAAGCGGTATCAAATCGAGGTCGAGAAGCGCATAGCGTACAGATGTGACTGTGGACTGGGGAGAAAAACAGATGCTGATTCTTTGCAGTCGTAGAAACGAAGACCCGCATGCAAGTTTCGCACCATTCATGGCGACTGGTGTATCGACAATGATCGTACAGTGCCTTTTCGGTTTCAAACCGCCTATCGCATAGGAGGCATTCGTAGTCTTCGCCGTCGTAGTAGAGATGAGGTCCTAGCGACATTTTGCTGCGCCAGAGACTGGGATTGAGTAAAATTTAGAAGATCAATGCTCTCTGAAGCTGGCATGAATAGGTAGAACCTGGCGCGCTGTCAGTGGATCTGTGCTGGTGAATTGATCAAGGGAACAGACAGTTAATTACTCCTTACTAACGTTAGGCGCCAGCAAACGGAAGTACCAGTTGCCCTGCATTGCAAACGAAGACAACTATTCTTCAATGTATCCGGTACATGAAGTCCCTGACACCTTAGGACGAGGGGTATAGAGCAATTATTACTGCCAATCCTTCTGCTCCCTTGAAATTATATATTCCGCCTAAGAAGCGCTGGCCAAGGTATACCGCAACCAAGCGAAAAGTCGACTGAGCGATTGAGGGAGGTCAATGCACTTCAATACTGGCGGAAGAAATTCACGAACCTAGTCTCATAAGGTCTGTCTCATAATCACATATTTGCATGGAGTAAGTCTCTAATACTCATTCTAGATTCTGTGCAGTAGATAAGTATACATAGCAAAGTAAGACATACTTTGGGGTGGAAGGGAAGAATGGAGAAAAAGAAAGAATGGGCGCGAACTTATATGCATGTAAAAGCGCGATAAATGGTGAAGATATAGTCATACTCAAATATGGTGCATATATCACGAATGCAATGTCTAAACTCCTGAAACGGATAAAATGTTGACGAACAGCTTTTGGTATCCGTAGCTTCCAAACCAAATACAAACACAGTCTCTGAGTACAACACAGGGACAGAAAACGCACTGCGTACAATCGTAGTCAAATAAATGAACCAACAACAAAATGGGTATATGTATGAGAAAATCTACCAGAAATATGGATTTCCATAAACATCCTGGTAGCACTGGTAAATATCTGGGCAGAACACTGGATCTTTTCCAAAAATGATGTGCCAAGAATATTCCATGATCCAGGCAGTGAGCTCATCCGGCAACTTGTTCGTGAGGACCCAATTGTAGTACCGTTGATAATCACTGAGAGGGCGTTTCAGAACTTGCGCTTTGGACACAGCGAATTGCGAGCAACACGGTGCGCCAACAACTTCGGGTATGTTGGTGTTGTTGTGCAACTCCTCCCACACCCTGGCATAGACTCTACTGTTCTCCTTGCCTGGCTGAGGCGGATCCTCTAACGGACGGATTTCATCGGGGCAACCGGGATTTCCCTGACAGCGAAGGTTGACGAAGCCACTCTGTTGCACGAACTCTGTCTGCAGTGATCGAACCGATTCCACATTGCTATAATCCAGTGTATCGGTGTGCCAGCCCGCCTCCCAGCCGTCTTTGTGGCTGTGGAGGAAAACCATTGTGGACGGAAGGTCATGGTAGTGATCGACGATGTATTGAAGGTAGGCAAGACTCTCGCGGCCTTTGTTCTTCGGGGTGTGTCGAGCCGCGTTCACGTCATCAACGGTGTAGATGAAATTGCGCCATCTGGATTGAAGTCAGCCTGAGCTCACCGCGCAAGGCCTTTCCCATGAACAACTCACTCATTCAAATCAGTGCTCACCCACGACGTATCCTCCTTGCTCAATTTGGCCATCACAATCACACGGTCATTGGGAACGATAATAGGAGTGATCTCGTAGGTTTGTTTGATTGGAAGAGATTCTTCTACTGTCACAGCTGGTGTCTCTTGAGGCTTTTCATTTTCAGGTTTGCTGGCGGGAGTAGCGACAGGCTCCGCAGCGCCGCCCCCTACCACATTGCTGAACTGCCAGGAGGATGGCACGTGCGAACCATCCTGAAGGGAATCTAGATGGCGCTTGATCAGGATGAAGGCGAGGATCAGGAGGGCGGCCAACCCAACACGGTAGGAAAGTCTCATCGCATAATATCTGCCGTAATTGCGCTCTGAAACTATAATGCAAGAGAAGGATCAAGGTGCGGGATGCGGACCAGGAGTAAATAACTTCGCGAAGGCAGAAAGGGATGGGAGGATGGACAAGAAAAAACTCTAAGGTCCTAAGCAGCTCAACAATGGGCAAATCGGAAAAGAAGCAAACCTAGCCTAAAAGTAGCAAGACAACTGAAAGCATAAGAATAAATGAGCCTTGTCAGTCCTCACAGGGATGGCAAGGCACCGAAAATTAGTTGACATGGTGTGCCGGCGAGATAGACCTAAACTATATTATATGGACCTTGTTTATCTCGCGGATTGGTGGGTTTCGGCGGTGAATTGACAGTGATCTGCAGGGGCCGAGAATATACGATGACACGGCCCAGTCTGTAACAACTTCGCACGGTGGCTTTTTCATTAATCAATCTCAATCTCTCTTGAAACCGTAAGTCGGCAGGGGCTGCAAGGACTCATTATCACCATGCGGAGTCTGAGGCAGACATCAATAAGATGCTTATTATTGCTGTTTCTCCGTTGACTGGTTTTCATATTGTGGAAAACGTTGCCGACTCTTCTACACAAATAATGATGATGACGGTGCTGAAACGATCCCGGTTATGTAATTTCCTTACTGTACCTAGTCTCACTCGGGGGTGAATGCCGATCCTTCAACAGACTTGGTATGGCCCAAGTCATCCACTTCGAGGTATTATCTGGGCCCAAACTCAATGGTCACTGCGTCCGCCGGCCTCCGCCAGGGTCCAGGGTCCAAGGTCTGTTGCAGTGATTATCAAAATTACTGGACTGAATATCTAAATTGCCGATGTCACCCATCAAGGAGCATAGACCAAGAGAGGATATTGTCATGTCAATCTGTCTGGTCTTGAAGATCCCCGTCCTGACGTGTTTGCGATCCACATCCGATGAGTTTATCTCCAACATCATATTATCGGGGTACCATAACCAGGTTTGCCTGTTGCAGTGTCTTACTGGCCAAATTGGCGGTTACCTCTCTGTGGTTCTCCACAGATAGGAAGCCTATCTCCAGGGAACATGTGTGGAGGTGCCGTTAGTGATTTACTCACCGTGAGCCGAGGCTTATCTCAATTTCAACACATTTTGTACCCCACAGGTATAAACAGACAGTCCATATGATGCATTCCAAGAGCAACTGGGGAGTGGAGAATCGATCTTGCAATGACAATGTGTGCCTGACTGGCATAGTGCCATGCAGGTCACTCACAGTACTCCTTTGAGCGGTGCGAACTGATACTGTTCACTACCGTACTACAAAGGGAACATGCGCTTCTGAATGGATCACCCGGCTTGTCTGTGACAGTCAGATGTAAGGTGCCCTGCAGAATGTCTCCTGTGCTAGCCATATGAGCTTTCTTCTGTGGGTCCCATACATACGGAAGTGCATTCTAAGTTGGAGTTGACTTGATCTTGATACTATGATAAATAGCCATTTCCACAAGCGCTCATAACACTGAGCACAATGTTTTTATGAGGTGATTAAACAAGTTAAACAAGTGAGTAGCATTTGCAGGGCGTGATACATTCGATTCGTCTAAGGTATCTCAATAAATTATCATAAGTCAAAATCATCATGGGCACATCGTGATCTGATCAACAACATCCTGCTCGGCGAAATTGCTCCAACAGACCTCCCACCTGAAATAAAGGACGCATCTATCAAGTATCGTCAAGCTTAAACCGACCGCCCAACTGAGTAAAATGTCAACAGAACCTAAGAAGACCCAAAGAAAACATCAGGACAACGCCATGCCAAAACACAAATGCACAAAGACGCTATGGTAAATGCATGGACAACCAGGAAAGATCAACAGCGACAAAGTACTTCATCGGCAAAGCATCAGCAGCACCTCCCCTTCTTCTTTGTGATCTCCATCAACTCATCAGCCTCGTCACCAGTACTGCTCGGCGGAAACCCAAGCCAACTCCTGCGCTTATCACCATGACCCAGCCGGAAACTGCCGTTCCCATCGATATTCCCCAAAGACGAAACAACCCCGTCAATCCCGGGCGTCGTTCCCTGCGACGAGCTATTCGCCGCCTCCCGCTTATTCCGCTGCTCGACCAGCTTCCGGGTGATCACACGAAACACTTCCTCGATGCCCTCCCCATCCTTGGCACTAATCTCGTGGCAGCAATCCCAGCCGATATCCTGTCCCCAGAACCCACTACTGCGCTTGCTATCGGGGCTCTGCAGCGCACTAGACGACGTCCCAAACCCTAAGCCCATCCCCGCCGTCGGCGGCGGCGTCGACGCCCGCGACGGGTACAGCTGCTCAGCGACATACGCAATCGTCCGCTCAAACGGCACCCTGCGGCGGGACGGATCCAGCGCAACGATATCCGACTTGGTCCCGACAACATGGATCACGATCGGGTCATCCTCCGCCAGATGCTTCTTCAGCTCCAGCAACCACCCCGTCATCTCCTCGAAACTCTGCTCGTCTGTGATATCATAGCAGAGCAGACACGCGTTCGCGCCGCGGTAGTACAGCCGCGAGATACTCCGGAACCGCTCCTGGCCGGCCGTGTCCCAGATCTGGAGACGGACGATGGTATCGGAGGTGGTGTCGAGGACGCGCTTGGTGATGAAGGAGGCGCCGACGGTGGACGTGATGGTCGCGGGGTTAAAGGCGTTCTTTACATAGCGCTGGACGAGAGAGGTTTTGCCGACTCCTGTGTGACAGGTATATAGCAGTTAGCGACATGGCACGAGTTAGGTCCCAACAAAGAACGCCTCTCACCTTGGGAGCCTAGCACAACGATTTTAGCCTCGAGGGAGGAGCTCATGGCGGGGTAGACGCGATAGCGGGGCGGACGGAGAGCGTCTTTTGCATGATCCGGCCGAGCAGATCCTCAGGGGGAAAATTGTCCGCGAAGGCACGGACTCGAACTAGAGCTGTAAAGGTGATTCTAGACCCGGATGCAATGTGGTAAGGGTCTAGGCAGACGGATACAAGCTGCACGAAAAGATTCTGGACTCTTTCCCGGTCGGTCGGGGAATCGGAGAGGGGGAAGGATGATGAAAACGAGGAAGAAAATAAGGAGCGGGACGAAAAGGATGAAAACAAGGCTATTCATAAATACATTCAAGATATTCTAGTCAGAGGCTGAGCCAAGACACATGCTGAAAAACTGAAGCAACTGATCACTTTCAGTGAATGTTTATCCCATTTAATGCCCCTGATAGAAATGTCCTTTCAACCATGGTTGAGAATCAGTTCTTTGTTGTGTCTCAGATCGATGAGGCGTCCATGGATGAAGAGATGATTAACTCAACTCATTCAACTCCTTACATTCTTGATCATAATATGAAACTGGTTCAGATTCCTCAAGCAACGCAAATAATAATAATGATATTATATCAATAAGATGAATATTTGATCCATCAGAAGGCAGAACTCCTTCCTCTTATGACTCGTAGCCGGAATGACTTCTGGGGCTGAGCATCTGACTGAAGAATGTGACTCAACAGGGCTGGCTATTTTTCCGTAGGGATTGTTAGTATATTGATTATTGCTTTTATATCTCTGATCATTCAGTACTTTGTTTCAGACCATTATTATGATATCCAGCACGGCAGCCTAGGCTACAAGATGAAGTAACCGCGGTTTAAAGCAAAGATGTTGTGTATATTCATGTCTATCACGACTCTATTGGTATCAAATCCCAGCCACAACCATCTATATAAACAAAGCAATGCCTCAACAGGTCATAACCTCTTAAAACAAATGTCTCTTGGATGAGACTGCAAAGGGGTAGTCGCGCAATCACAAGCAAAAAATCAAGATAGATCAAGCACAACAGCCTCTTGACGAGTTTCAAACTCGTCCAACTTCAGTCAACGAGGCCGGAGCTCCAGCTCGGCCCATAGAAACGACAAGAGAAATCAGAAAAAGAGACATGAGATGGCATTGTTTCATCAGAGTGTATCCATAAACTTTTGTCTTTCATCTATAATCTCACGAATATGACGAGACTGGCTCTTACTGGGTCGTCTCCAGTCGTTGGGCAGCGTTATGCTCAGCGTGAGCCTTCTCAATTTCGTCAAGAGAGTCACCGGAAGCGGAAGCATACTCTGCGGCCTTGGCCTCAATCTCATCGTCGGTAAGCTTGGGAAGATCCTTCGCAGCCTTGACATAGCTAATGTTCTCGACGTAGCCCTTGGCGAAGATCAAATCAATCTCCTCCAGACTGCGATTGGCGGTCTCTGGGTAGAAGAACCAGATGACAGGAATGAACGAGGCGTTCAGCGCAGCAAAGAACAGGTAGGTACCCCAGCCAATGTGCGCAACCATGACAGGGGTGATCATGACAACAGTGAAGTTAAAGAGCCAGTTGCTGCAAGTAGAGACAGCGTTGGCCTTGGCTCTGGTCTTGATGGGAGACAATTCGGCGGGATACAGCCAAGGCAGAGGCAGCCACGCAGCACCGAAGGCGGCCATGTACAGGAAAAGACCGAAAACAGCACCCTTGGAGGTCTGCTCATCGCCCGGAATCAAGCAAGCGAATGTGATAACCATGGAGATGGTCTGAAGGAATGAGCCTCCCAGGAAAAGCTTGCGACGACCAATTTTCTCGATGAAGAACCACGAAAAAGTGGCGAAGATGGAGTACACAATCATGTTAATGCCTCCAATCAGTAAGGCCATGTCATTGCTCTGGTGCAGAGACTCCTTCAGCAAGACAGGGAGATAGTAGATCACAGCGTTGCAACCGCCGAGCTGCTGGAAGATCTGAGAAGAGGAGCCGATGAGCATACGGCGGAAATGTTGGGTGCGGCCGCCAGTGAGAAGATCCCTGAATCTCGTCTTCTGACCGGAACCAGAACTGTAGCAATGTTAGTTGAATTGCCATACAACACAAGTACCGCAGGTGCTATAAAAAGGAACACTCACGCTCTGATGGAGTCAATGACCAATTGTTTCTGAATCTGGGTTTCATGATCGTGGACCTCGCGGCCTCCCAGCGCAGCAAGGACGTACTCTCCCTCTTGGATGCGATCCTTGGAGATAAGGTAGCGAGGGGAGTCGGGCAGGAAGAACATTCCGATGATGATGATGAGACCAAAGAAGATCTGGAACGCAATGGGAAAACGCCAGACAAGGTCATCGGGGCCATAGTGAGCGCCGAAATCAATCCAGTATGCAATGGCGGTACCAATGGCGATCACACCACCCTCGATACAGATCAAGAGACCACGGTTACTCGTCTTGGAGCACTCGGCCTGGTATGTAGGAATGGTAGAAGTGTTCATTCCGTTTCCGATACCGGTGATGACACGGCCAATAAAGAACTGCAGAAGAGGGATGTGTCCAATAAATGAAGTAACCTGGATGATGACACCGACAATCATAACGATAGCGCCAGAGAAGATCATCCAGCGACGACCAGTGCGATCACCGAAAAGGAGGGCGAAAATGGCACCCGCCAAGCAACCTGTAAATAGAATAGAAAAGGTTAGGAGCAGTTGCGAACAAAAGAGCAGGGATCAAGACACTAACCAAGTTCGTATACAGCAGTCACGAGAGCTTGCATAGTAGCATCATCTTTGGTAGCAGTAAAGACCTTGGCAAAAGCATTGTCACTGATGATACCAGACATAACACCCTCTGTCGCCTGTATTAGCTTGATTCAACTGAAAAGGACATCAGTAGAGCAATCCACTTACGGTCATATCCAAAGAGTAGGAAACCCATCGTGGCAACAGTCGATACAGCCAGCGACAGTGGCCTGCCCGACATGCCAGCATATGAGGGCGCCATGATGAGAGGACAGAAGAACGTTCGAGAGAGAGGTTAAAGGAGTGTGTATGTACAGAGGTAAGGGGGGGACCTCCAGGGCGAACAGACAACGAATTCTAGGTGCTGTTGTGCCCAATGCGTCTCTTTTTCTAGAAAAGAACGAAGGGAAAGAGAAAGAGAAGTTGAAAACAATGAAAAGCAACTGACAGAACGCGGAGAAGTCGGGGGAAGGGGGATATTTCTACTTCTCCAGGAGTCAATAGACAGACAGCTGTGGCCACCAGGTACACAGGCCGACACTCTCTCATCATTCCCCCGAATCGATACATGCTCCACCAACCTACCAACACTCATAGTCGGCGGTACCATTGTTTTGTGGAGCAAGGGACTGAACGCATCAATAATCGCAGGATAAGCATTTTTTTGGGTGCAGCCCATGACCCACTGTGGATTCAGGATGCGCGCCAAGAATGACATCACGGTCTCCATCAGATGGAGCACCCGAAGAGGAACGGACAAGAGCGACGACAAAACAGATTGAAGCCTCGGACAAGAAAAGAGGGTCCGACTGGTGCGCTGGGCATCGTCATTTGGCAGCACACCTTCGGCACTTGCTACCACGTTCTACCACCTTTCTGCGACCAGCAGTTACCAGTGACCGGATCACCACTCTTTCTTCCTCTTCGTAAGCGAAATCTCTGCTGCGAGACGTCCTCCACCAGGAGCTCTTCCGTGTCTCCACACCCCTTCTCCTGTCCGCTCCTCTCATTCATTGTTCGCATAAGGAAATACATATGTCCGCTGACTTGACTTCCAGTTAGAATTGAGATGGGCAAATCAGACATGGGGGGAGGATAGGTTGACTTACCGCTTCTGTGTTCGGTACTCAACCAGGAAACTAACACGAGTTGGAGATCCCATGGGGTTTTCACGTGCCTGATGTGGTAATCCGTATGAACCACAGTCGAATCAACCACAGAGGGAACCAGGGTGGTTGACTATGTTTGTGCAACCCATAGATAAGTAATAATAAGTCTCATTCATTGCTAGGTGTCTTTCATCTGCGCATAGCACATACTAGTTCTACTACTCCGTACTATAGTCAAAGTGGCGGATCGTTGTACGCCATCCCGTCATCCCGCGCTCGGCAACCAATATCGGCCCATATCTGCTCAACGGGAAGTGACCGTCTTCCGACCACCTAGTGTCGGTAATCTGCAAGGCAGACGCATGCTTTTATTGAATAATATGATGAATTTGGAGCCAACGACGGCCCTCCTAATCATTCCGCCCAATGGTCGTGGAGGGTGAAGTCCGATTGCGATTCGACGCCGAAGTCTCTGAAAGCATGGGACGCATGCGACCATAAGGACGTCTCTCCACTTTTCCCAGTCCGTCCTCCTCTTCAATGTCTGAATAATCGCTTCATTGTTCAAACCATTACATGAGCTTGTATGGCTCATTTGATTACTTCCCCCCCAATATTTGCCCTCGCCTAAGGCCACAGCGTTATTCGACTCCATATCGATGCCATGTCATTGTCTGCCCTGACCCAATCGTAGCGTTTTCCGGTCTCTATCCGGCCCATCTCCGGTGCATGAGGTTAGAGTCAACTAAGTCGAAACGGTTCTTTAGTGCACACTCAGATGCAACAGTCCACTACTACTGAATCATGACAGATGCAAGTATCTGCTCCCCTCGCGGCAGCCTCCTATGTCAACACCCGTGCGCCATCTCTCCGCGCTGAGGGGCAATCCTCGAGCGCGCGGGATATTATCATCATGACTACGTCAACGTTGAGTTAAAAAAAATTTTCTTCACAAGCGCCAAGCGCCAAGCGCGACAAGAACAAGGGGAAGAAATGTGAAGCTCAAAAGTCATCTATCTTGGTCGAAGCAAAGAGTCGGACAAGCGCCCTCGGCGCGCAGTAAGTCATGCAATGACAGTTTGCGCCAAGAGGGACCATGTGGAGGCGATTGAAAATTTAGAATTAATACATAGATCGGGAGTGGCTGCTGGGCGTCTGGAGAAAAAGCCGCCAACCAAGAAGTGCCATCATAAAAATCCTCACGGTTTTGCCTGGATTCTTATTTAAACACGATGGTCAACGAATTATTGTTCCTGCTCGGACATTCCCCCTGTGGCGTCATACCATGTGCGAGGTGGTACGTAGAAAGATTACAACCGCCGATTTGGCATGGTGTTCAAAGTAACTCTGCCATCTACGTAAGTGGCACGATCTCGGTTTGTGTAGGGCTAGCGAGTAAAAGAGGTACGGTAGGAGTTGATTTGCCCTAGATAAGTTAGGCAGGTCCCAGGCACAGGTCCAGTTCCAGTAACCCCATTGGAGAGGGGGAAACCCACCAGTCTTGTTACACAGACCTCGCTTAATGTCCGTGTAGGTAGACATCTCAGCTTCAGATCTCAATGTATTCTTACAATGAGATGTAGTGTGATGACAGTATATCAAAAATGTCACCGAGATGTTCCCATGACTCCGGGCAATGCATACGTGGGAGTCCTCTAGCATAGATAACTGCCTATTAATTCCGTGCATTCATCTGAATCAGAAACAAATGTGTTGGCACAAGCTATCCACATAAACATTGATGAATGCAGCCTTCTTCGGGAGAATTCCGGGTCTGTAGCAAACACCAACCCGAGCTAGGAAGGTATCAACAGATGATCTTTGTCACGTACACAACGGACGGCCCGATTGTTAGTCATGGATTCGACTTGCTCACTCAACGCCGACCGTTTACAGTCGGCTTTGGCTCCCAAGACTCGGGAATGTGTCACGGAAAGAATGCGGGAAATTCAATGCACCCGATCGCGTTCGGAGAAGGTCTCTTGGCGATGGGACAGGCATCCAGTAACAATGATTATCAAGTCTTGCTCAGTGCTCACCGACAATACCTTGAAAGGCAAAAGGAACCAAACGAAAATCGTACGAGATTGAGACGTGTGACGGTGAGCGAGACAAGTAGCTGAGTTGTGCTTGTGCTACGGAGTCCACAGTACGACGGCAAATGGGGTGTTGTTATGCACATAAAAGTTTACTAACTTTTATACATCGGTTATTCTCCAGGAAGAGGGTCGAAACAAGGAGGAAGGCAAGCAGCAAGCTGATGGGGGAGACCTTGAATTTATATTGCTTCGACTGCATCAGGTACTACACTGATTGCCGGAACTACCGGCTTGAACGAGGCTATAATCATGCCTTCTTGTACGGACAAGACTGGTCACCCTCACCGAAAAGGGAGGGCGTTCACTTCGGCATAGTCAGCTCCGAAACCACGGTGTCTCGTCAAATTATCCGAACGGATAAATCAACTGAGGGAGGGTAGATAGTTAAATTATCACGAAACACGACTTGGGTGAGATTGCAGAACCAACATGAGCATCACTATCCGTACGGATATCTTGTCTACTCTGCAGAGAGTACCACGTTATAAGCGTTGCATTTTCCGACGGTACCAGTTACCTTCTCATATTTTGCGTTCAAGTTCAAGTGAAATGCCGACTTGAATGGAGCTTCGCCGTCTTTCTCAGTAGTGCCTGGCTTTCTAGCATGCTCAACCCTGCAAAAGAAAGCCGATAAGCTCAGCCGTGTTTCCATGAGACAAAAGACATCTTCTTATTCCCTCCTCGGTCTGGTGTGTTAATGCGACTCAGACTCAAAACAACTTCAGTCCTGTGCACCACGTGATTATGAAATCGAGACATGAGCCTGATTAACCAGGAGGGGCGTCGATAATGTTATGACTTATGGCGTCCATCAAGCATATCTTATATATTATTGCGTAGCCTCTCTAAAGAGAAAATTGGATCTTAACACTGAATCGTCCGAATCTCATACACCTCTCGGGCGAATTGCCTTCCACTACGTGCTGCGATCCGATCCAGTCTCATGAAGATAAGAGTCGGCCGAGAAAGCAACATCGCCCGAATGTCTCTCCCCGCAAACCGCAGCTGGGCTTCCCCAGTGCCGAAGATCGCTGGTCCTCAGCCACTCAGACAGCTGTCCTATCAACAACATTCATCGACCAACGATTGATCTCGGATTTTTGCTGAATCTGTCCTAATTCGCTGTCGATTATACCGAGGTGCTCCAGCCCTTCGCAGACGTAATTATTTTATTCGTGGCGTCTGCTTTTTGGACCTCATACTTTTGACCACAGTCACCACAAGGGCTTCAAAAGTGGGACTTGTTCGGGTTTCAAAGCGATCATCAATAATTGCTTTCAATTCACATAAAAGCCGGCCTATATTAGCCCCAGACCTTCTTCTCGATTATTTTCTTTCGTCCCTGATTCCTCCATTATCAGAGAGTAGTCGTCACAATGAGACAAGGGAAGCTCACTGGCGCCGAGGTCGCCAAGCACAATTCCAAGGACTCCTGCTGGGTTATCGTACATGGGAAGGCGTATGATGTTACAGATTTTCTTCCAGGTACTGTTTCTGTATAGCATAGTTCTTATGATAGCACACTCACAATGACCAGAACACCCAGGTGGCCAGAAAATCATCCTCAAATATGCCGGAAAAGATGCGACTGAAGAGTTCGACCCAATCCACCCTCCCGACACATTGGACAAATACCTTGACCGATCGAAACATCTCGGCGAAGTGGATATGGCAACCGTTAAACAAGAAGAGAAGGCTCATGACCCCGAAGAAACCGAACGCCAGGAGCGGATCAAGCAGATGCCTCCACTGCAGGCTTGTTATAACTTGATGGATTTTGAGACCGTCGCTCGCAGCGTGATGAAGAAGACTGCGTGGGCTTACTACTCGAGTGGTGCGGATGACGAGATTGTACGTGGATTGACGGGATGGCAATTATACGAGATTGTTCTCGCTAACTCGATCTAGACTATGCGCGAGAACCACAATGCCTTCCACAAGATCTGGTTCCGTCCGCGAGTACTAGTCAACGTAGAGAACGTTGACTTCAGCACAACAATGCTGGGTACCAAGGTCTCTGTGCCCTTCTATGTGACAGCGACTGCACTTGGAAAATTGGGCAATCCGGAGGGAGAAGTTGTCTTAACTCGCGCGGCTCACAAGCACAATGTCATCCAAATGATTCCCACTCTCGCCTCTTGTTCTTTTGACGAGATTGTGGATGCGAAGCAAGGAGATCAGGTACAATGGCTGCAACTCTATGTGAATAAGGACCGCAGCATCACCAAGCGCATTGTTCAGCACGCCGAGGCACGAGGCTGCAAGGGTCTTTTCATCACGGTCGATGCGCCGCAGCTCGGCCGTCGCGAGAAGGACATGCGGTCCAAGTTCTCCGATGTTGGTGCCAGTGTTCAAGCCAGCGGCGGGGACGAAGTCGACCGCTCTCAGGGAGCCGCTCGAGCCATCTCATCGTTTATCGATCCTTCTCTTTCCTGGAAGGATATCCCCTGGTTCAAGTCCATTACCAAGATGCCCATCATCCTCAAGGGGGTACAATGCGTGGAGGACGTCCTGCGCGCAGTCGAGGTGGGCGTGGATGGTGTCGTCCTCTCCAACCACGGCGGTCGCCAGCTGGAGTTCGCCCGGTCGGCCATCGAAGTCCTGGCCGAGGTTATGCCTGCCCTGCGCGAGCGCGGCTGGGAGAACAAGATTGAGGTGTACATCGATGGTGGTGTCCGTCGCGCCACCGACATTCTCAAAGCTCTGTGCCTCGGTGCCAAGGGCGTCGGTATCGGACGTCCCTTCCTCTTTGCCATGTCCACGTATGGCCAGCCCGGCGTGGAGCGCGCCATGCAGCTCCTTAAGGACGAAATGGAGATGAACATGCGCTTGATCGGCGCCTGCAAGATCGAGGAGCTGAACCCTAGCCTGATCGACGTCCGCGGTCTGACCGGCGGCCACCATGCTCCGGTGCCGTCCGACACATTGACCCTTGGTGCGTACGATCCGCTGCAGGCTCCGCGATTCAGCGAGAAATCCAAACTGTAGTTTCGAGACGCCTATCTCTCATCTTATACCCATTTAGTTAGGACTTGGTTGGTCATGTTTCATGTCTGCCTGGAGTGAGTGTACATTTAGGAAGTGGATGTATATATTGTCTGATCATCAAATAGACGCGATATCAGCGAAGACACAACTTATATATTCATTTCGCCTTCTTCTGCACAGCTAAGTTATACTTCGTCACAAAAACAGAACTGTAAAGGATATATATAAGTAGATGACGATTATGCAGCAAACATCCAGCCATTAGAGAACCAACCTATTTACAAACTCCTCCAAGACCACTAACCTAAACCTTACAATACTACAACCTGCGGTTTGTTCCCCAACCGCCCCGTATTCCTATACATACAAGCGGCATTCACCATCCACCCACAGCCCCGATTCTCACCACCCCAGACCTTCGCCCACACAACCCCAAGCACACCATACGCGACGACCCGCGCCGCATCCAGCCAGCCGTGAATATCAAACAGGTCCCGCAGGAACCCAAAGAGGGACATCAGACGACCGTATTTGGCACGCGGGCGCCGCGCCGCACACAGCCGCTCCCACGCTCTCTGTGCCTCGTCCCAGTAGACCGGCTCGCTGCCGTATGCTTCATGGACGTGCCCAAAGACGTGCAGCGCGGGCCGGACGCGCCACGTCTCGGCGAGCAGGGAGGGACAGCCTGTGGAGTAGACGGGGGATAAGTCCAGGTGGGCCTGTGGCGGGGTGTGTGTGATCAGGATGTCAGTGTCCGGGGGATGGTGCCGGACCAGGCATCGTGTTGTGGGTGGTATGTAAAGGCGTGCTCGGAGGTGAAGGGGACGATGGCGGGGATTTGGGGGCGCCGCAGATAGTTAGGGAGCGCGGGCGGGCTGCGGAGTGGGCTGGGACGGCGGAGGAAAGGAGAGGGTGATGGAGGAGTGTTGAAGGTAGTGGATGTCGCCCCAGTTGATGCGAGTGAGGCCGTCTGGGTCGTCGTCGATGGAGCGGATGGAGGCGGTGGAGGAGGAGATGGCTGCGAAGGACGAGGAGGAAGCGTCGCGGTCTTCGTCTCGTCTGGAGCGAATGTCGAAGTAGCTGTCGTGGTTGCCGCAGATAACTACTTTGTGGGGGTGAGGCAGCGTCTGGAGCCAGTCGACTGCGGCTTGAATCTCGCGGATGCTACCGTCATTGCAGAGGTCGCCTGCGTGGATGAGCAGATCGCCGTCCGGGACGTCGTCCCATTCTAGTGTGTGGGTGTCGGAGACGCAGACAACGCGGATGGGGTGCGCATCGGGTGAGGGTATGCGTGGAGGGCCGCGCAGTCGGAGGAGGAGATGATGGAGGGGATAGAGCAGTGCAGTTAAAGGCGAAGAGAACAAATAGTCCGGTAACGGTCGGCGATCAAATGGAGAAGACATGCTTGTGAAGGCCTTGAAGACCTCAGGCGGTGCTGAGGATGCTATCTACAGGTGGATGAATGAGGGGGTACGACTTTATCCCCGGCCAAGGTACCAGATGTCGGTGTGGAGAAGGTGACGTTGCCGCTGTTAGACAGAGTCGAGACTATTTTAAGAGTCGAATGTTAAGAGTTAACATGACAGGTTGGACGACTTCAGCAAAATTCATCGAGGATATCTGTTCATTGAGCTTTCTCATCCTCGAATCAGAATACAGCCTGTTACTATATGCTGTGTATCCCTCTCACAGTCCCGCAGTTTGAGCTATTCCCGCTCAATGTCTTCCAATACGGGTGCCTGAGGCCTTCGATGGAGTTGACTTGTTTGAAGCATTTACGTCAACACAACTGCACATCCACCGTTGCAATAACACAAGCTATGCAGGGACATTAAACCATTTTTATAGGGAATCGAGCAACTGGGCAACTGGAAGCACATGAACGCCAAACCATCCTATCAGTGGGAACCATCTTGCGAAAGGAACTATGTGCATGCTCATGCCCTGCATATGTACGCTCATGTACCAAGTCCTCGAATAAAACAAGCATTTAAGGACTTGATAGCCTCTCATTATATCATTTTCTGACTTCAGCTGAATGGCTGCGGTTCATGTTGACGACCACCGGTGTGATCAGACATTTCAAGACCATGGCAGAAAAGCATTCATCACTAGTCGCGTTAAGAGGTTCATCAAGCGATATTTTGAGGAAGTCCAGGCCTATTAGTCGATGCTATCCTTTACGGAATTTTCCTAGAGGACCACATTCCTTTCAATGTTGAAGAATTGAAGACAAATCAATCGGCCAACGAATCAGAATGACATTGTTGAACCCAGTTGTGTAGGCGCGCTATCGGGTACACCTAAAGCACTTGAAGGGAACGACCATGATGGATCCGGGGAAACACCGTGCATACTCCAGTGGATATCCATCATCAAATGGTCAGTACTGGGCCAGTCAGCTTCTGGCCCAAGGGCCACCGAACAGAAGGATCAAGCGAAAGGATGAATCTGTTCTATCGTCATCATTGAGACGGTCCCCTCATCCGCCATGTTCCTGTTCCTTAGTCCCCCTTCGTCTCCCAGGTACCTCGTAAAAGCTTGTAGTCCTAAATCATCAATGCGCGACTCAAGTTTTATCTTCCAAGCGATGATTGATCCCGCGCTGGTCAGGCCGGACCTTTAAAGGGTAAGAAACTAGCATCCTTCAAGCCCCAGTCACGATTTGCCACATCCGTTAAGTTGATTGTTGTTGCTGGCTTGTCAACATCGCTTGAAGAGAAACCGGCTTGCTGCTTGCGGACATTCCTGTCGGCTGCATTTCCATCTACCACACCACCAGGTTGTTGCAATTCTTCTTTCTGCTGTTCAATTCCTTCCATTTCGTTGAGTATTTGAATCGATAACGCTAGGAGTCGATCGGATCTTAGATTCACCATTATTGCCCCGAGCCCCCTCTATATATGTGTTCGGCCTTATCGTTTGCGTCATATACGCACATCCTTCTACCTTGAATATTCCGTTGATTTTCGAATGTCTCGTCCGATTTACAATTTACTCTACTCCTTCTCCCTCGTCTAAGCACCTATATTTCACCAATACTACTGCCTCATCCCACTGATCTCCTCCGTCATATTGGGTTGCGGTCGCGGGCGCTGAACCAACCCCTCATAGAATCGCACAATCCACCCCTCCGCCGCCAGACACAACGAGCTTGGCTGGACTCAGCTTCGCCTTCTCCGGCCCAACACCTTGTGCCCCTCCTTCTCCAGATTCTCTCGATTTAAACCTTCTTCAACCCGCATCGATCCTCCGATATCCAAACGATGGACGGAGTAGATATAACCAAGGCGGTTATCAACAAGGGAAAACAAATGGCAGGCGTCGCTGCGAATGCTGCAAATGGCAATGGCGGTAGGAAGAAGAGAAAAGGAACCGATCTGAAGCCGATCGTTACCAACGACGCCGCCTCACCTGCCATCGATCCATCTGCCACAACTACTGAGGGGTATGCTTCGCTCTTGCTTTTCTTCAGCATTGTCGCTCCGGTGTTCTTTTTCACGACGGAAATTTTCTTATTTCTTTGCCCTTTTTTCTCTCCGCTCTTATACCCGTTGTTCCGTATCATAGCGCTATTTGATTCTTTTTCCTAACCAACATGAGTGGCAGTGTTCCCGTCAAGTCTGCATATGATGTGCCTCCGTCGCGGTCGGCCTCTTCCTCGTCCGCAGAAGAACTCGAAACCGCTGCTGAAGAGGAAGACTCGGAGGACTACTGCAAGGGTGGTTATCACCCAGTCACCGTGGGCGAAACATACAACAATGGGCGGTACGTCGTCGTGCGCAAATTGGGTTGGGGTCATTTTTCCACCGTCTGGCTGTCCCGCGATACCACCACCGGAAAACACGTTGCGCTCAAAGTTGTTCGCTCCGCCGCGCATTACACCGAAACCGCTATCGATGAGATTAAGTTGTTGAATAAGATCGTTCAAGCGAAACCTTCCCATCCCGGCCGGAAACATGTTGTCAGTCTGCTCGATTCATTTGAACACAAGGGTCCAAATGGTGTGCATGTATGCATGGTGTTTGAGGTGCTGGGGGAAAATTTGCTTGGCCTGATCAAGCGCTGGAACCATCGGGGTATCCCCATGCCGCTGGTGAAGCAGATTACGAAACAGGTGTTGCTGGGTTTAGATTACCTGCACCGGGAATGCGGCATCATCCACACAGACTTGAAGCCGGAGAACGTTCTGATCGAGATTGGCGACGTGGAACAAATTGTGCAGACATATGTCAAGGAGGAAGCGAAGAAGGAGAATAAAGACGATAGCCGCAGCGGCCGGCGACGGAGGAGGACCCTCATCACCGGGAGTCAGCCATTGCCCAGTCCACTCAACACCAGTTTCAGCCATCATGATTTCAAGCACAGCTCTTCCAACTCACACAGCAGTCTCAGCCAGGTTATTGAATCATCCAGTACGTTTCAAACAAAATCGCCCCGTGGCATCCCAAGCTACGCCCGCTGACAAATCTGCAGACACATCTACGCAAGAAGGCGCGTCGATGAAGGAGTTATTAGGTATAAAGGCGGACGAAAAGCAGAAAGAGAGGGAGAAGACTACGTATGTTGGAAACTGATTCCGGCCCATATGTGGAAGGTCTGATGCACTGACATGGGGTTAGTGATCTGCTAGAGAGAGAGGTTTCGGGGATCTCGCTTGACAAACAATCCTCTAAAGAAGAAAGCGAGGATCCTCTGTGCGACATCATCTCAGTGAAGATTGCCGACCTGGGGAACGCGTGCTGGGTTGGCCACCATTTCACCAATGATATTCAAACGCGACAGTACCGCTCGCCAGAGGTTATCTTGGGATCGAAGTGGGGTGCGAGCACAGATATCTGGAGTATGGCTTGCATGGTTAGTTTGGAAATTACATACTTCTTTTGCCTAGCCAAAGTGATCAACTGACAATTCCGATAGGTATTCGAGCTTATTACAGGCGACTACCTTTTTGACCCCCAGTCGGGAACAAAGTACGGCAAAGACGACGATCACATTGCACAAATCATTGAGCTGCTCGGTCCTTTCCCCAAATCACTGTGTCTCTCTGGAAAGTGGTCGCAAGAGATTTTCAATCGCAAGGGAGAACTTCGGAATATCCACCGGTTACGCCACTGGGCTTTGCCTGACGTCCTAAGAGAGAAGTATCATTTCTCGGTTGAAGAGAGTATGCGCATCAGCGAATTCCTGCTACCGATGCTGGAATTGCCCCCCGAGAAACGTGCCAATGCCGGTGGTATGGCGGCTCATGAATGGCTGAGCGACACTCCCGGGATGAAGGGTGTTGACCTAGGTATACCGCCTGGTAGTAGGGGCGAAGGGATCGATGGATGGGCCTCGGAAGTCAAGAAGCGATGAGACAAGTAAAGCGAAAAGCATATCAGACATGAGTCAGTGACGATCTCTTACCTATTTATTCCTTTTCCTCTTCTGTGTGGATCCTCGTCGATTACCATTTGGTTCTGTTTTGGCAATGGACGGGGTGTTATGATTTATTTCCTTGTTGCATGATGCCCATATGCCTCTCTCAATAAGTGTGGGGCTCGTTCACCCTCACTGCCCGTTCTCTACAATCATAGAGCCAGATCACCTCTGTTGTGTTACGCTTCCAACCCTGCTCGGAGTTGGTCTCTGGCGGCCACTTCCAGGCTGTCTTCTTCATTAGATCCAATGCCCGAATGATTTACGACTCTAGTTCTTTGGCACGGTAGCTTTCCGCCAATTCTTTGACACGCGTCTGTTACGGATATATGGAGTTTGCGTTTGTCGAAGCCAGCTGCAGGGTACGATTGTAGTGCGGAGGGTACAAGTTTCTGATTGATACTGAACAGACTTCTTGTGAAGGGTCCGTGGATACAAATGAATGAGATGAGATACACGCCTAGACCTCTAGGCCAACCGGGTGAAATCTATAGAGTTGAGACCGTAGAACGATCACATTCTCCCTCCCCTTATTCACCCTCGTCTTCATCTTCACTATCCTCGGATTCCTCCCCAGGCAAACGTTCCGGGAACCAGCCATACCGCGCAAAATCCACGTAGAAGTCACCCATGCTATCCGCATCCACCTCGACACCTTCCTGGCGCAGCGCCTCGGCCTGGCGCTCAGCACTTCCGGGGCCCCTGCAGATATCAGCACCATGGAATTCTGAAGAGCATCTCATCAACATACCGATGAGAAATCATCCCTTTGGAATTAACCACCCGCTGCCAGGGCACATTGCCCGAGTGGAAGTGCTGCGAGGTATCTGAGGGGAGATGTTTGAGACAGATTCCAACCTGACGGGGTCGTTTAGCTATTAAATCTATTAGCTTTCGGCCCTACGGTACGGCAGATAAAAAAAAAAAGGAGAAAGGAAAATGCGAAGGGGATCTACATACGTTCGCCGAGTAGAAGGGCGATATGCCCGTAGGAGGTCACTTTGCCATAGGGAATGGATTGGACAGCTTCGTAGACGGCGTTGAACCACCATTCTGCCTCGTCGGAGCGGGGCATCTCAATGCTTTCCCTCTTCAAATTTGAGAGATGACTCTAGTTCATTATCTACTTCATCATCACCATCATTATTATTGATTAATGCTGTGCTGTATGACGCAGGGAAAGACAGGCACTCTATACGGATACGGATACGAGAACCGGCAAAACTAAAACTCCGGCTATCAGCGCGATAGCAAGATCGCTGCAGCAAAAGCCCAAGCTCAAGCTCAAGCCAAACTTCCAACCTCCAATCTGAACCTCCCAGACCGAACACCATGCCCTCCTCGTCACTAGCAGAATACCTCGCCAAAAATTACCTAACGGCCGATCCAGCGACCGAACGCCCCAAAAAGAAACGCAAGAAGACCAAAACCGTCGACGCCGCGGGAGACGGCCTCATCATCGCCGACGACGACCCGCCCGATCTACGGACGTCGGCGACGAATTTCGGCAACGAGGACGACGAGGGTCCGAGTCTAGTTACCTCCGTCCGCAGCGCGGAGTTCCGCCGCGCGAAGAAATCGAATTGGAAGACGCTGGGTGGTCCCGCGGCGGGCAGCTCGAACGCGAATGATGAGCGGGACGCCGCAGATGCGATTCTAGCGTCCGCTGCGGCGGAGAGCGCCGCTCGCCGTGGGGAAGGAGAGGAAGGCGACGACGAGGCGCCTGCTGTTGTGGACGAGGCGGACGCCGACGACGGAGGAGAGCTGCGGATGGAGTCCGGTGCTCGGGCGGGACTGCAGACGGCGGAACAGACGGCGGCGATGGTAGCTGCGCAGGAACGACGGAAGAAGGCGGAGGCGGCGCGGCATCGAGAGCGTCCGGCGGAGGCGCAGGAGACGATATACCGAGATGCGTCTGGGCGGATCATCAACGTTGCCCTGAAGCGGGCGGAGGCGCGGCGGGCGGAGCAGGAGAAGCGCGAGAAGGAAGAGGCAGCCAAGGAGGCGCTGATGGGCGATGTGCAGCGGGCGGAGCGGGAGGCGCGCAGGCAGCAGATACAGGAGGCGCGGGCGATGCCGCTTGCGCGGACGATCGAGGACGATGCCCTGAATGAGGAGCTGAAGGCGCAGCAGCGGTGGAATGATCCTGCGGCTGGCTTTCTGACCAAGACGAAGGGACCTGGCGCGAGTGTGACAGGGAAGCCGCTGTATAAGGGGGCTTTTCAGCCGAATCGGTATGGGATTCGTCCGGGACATCGATGGGATGGGGTGGATCGGGGGAATGGGTTCGAGAAGGAGTGGTTTGCAGCGAGGAATAAGAAGGGGAGACTGGAAGCGTTGGATTACCAGTGGCAGATGGATGAGTAAATTGTATTGGAGGGAGTGGTTATCTGTACGGATTCGGTGTGGATATGGTGCTGGACACCTTGATGATATACGGTTGTTCTCATTTCAAATAATACATACAGCTTCATCGAAGGGCGACATCTGGAGACTAAGTCGCAAACTTGATGCCTTCAGACTACCTCAGATTTCTGTTTACATGCGTCCAGAAGCCCATGACTGCGTGCGGCAGTGGTCAATTTCCTGTCAAGGATTCTGGCATTCTTATACAGTGCATAGACACTCACTTCTCTCTCTTTCTGGCCAGCACAAGTTGAGCGTTCATCGAATATCGCAAGCAAAGCACTGATCCCGTCCCCTCTGTTGCTGTATTCGAGCTACTCGCATTTGGCATGACGAAATTTAACTGACACTACTCCATACTTATGTTCCAACTTCAAATATATATACCCTGAAACTATCAAATGCTCGACTCATGTAGCTGGAGACGGCAAGTCATATATATCTCATCCGTGCTACAGGCTCAACAGACTACAATCAGCTACAAGATCATTATCATCATGGGAATAGGAAGTACCAGCCACAATCAACTACCTTGAGTCTACAACCAGCCACTCAGCTCAAATCACATGTCCATGTTGAGCTCAAAGTGACGAGAAACCAACCCAGAACTTTCCACAAAGTATCCCTAACCAAGCAGACCTCATCACATCACATCGCATACCACCCACCATGATGACAAGCCGAACAGCTGACCAGATCCAGATCCAGAAGCGCAAGTCATCCGGAAGAGGCAGCAGTATGCATACCTAGCAGACTAGGTTGCGCGGGGTGGATAAATAGTACTCCGTAGGTATCCATGCGCAAGGCAGATGATAAGCCCCAAGCTCCCCCGAATACTCCCTATCAGCGGCGTCATCGCTTGCACATGAGATGACTCAGGGTGAAGGAGTGGTTGGAGTTCGCCTTGCATGCTTACTATTTTCTACTTGTTACTCGACGCTCGACAGTAGTAAGTTCCGAATAAGATCGATCGATGCATGTTGATGTAGTACCGGGGTCTTTTATTAGTCTACGGCGCGTAACGCTACGTCAGGTTGCTTTGAGTCATCTGGACATACGGGTGCCTGAGGCTGTAAGGGATCGACAGCGACGACGACGACATACATCCATCAGTGGCTCTGCTTTGAGTGATCGAAGCAACCTAAACCTCGGGGACCAGAATTGGTAATGGATAATAATTATGATGATGATGCGTGGTCAAGAACCGTGGTTATACTGTGGCGTTCGGAGGATTACTGTATTCTGTCGAAGTGTTAGGTACCTCGGGAGATCCCCGTTCTGCGATAAGGATCAGGGGAGATGCGGAGAGAGCAGTCCAACGGAGTAGTGGATGGGAGATGAGGGGAGATCGCTCATCGCGGATAAGGATAAGGGGAGAGTTCTATTCTGTACAGTAGACTAGTGATGATGGTCTAGACGAGGGGATCACTGCCGAGATGGTAATGATCAATCCATCAATCAGCAGAAACTGGTATGTCGCAATCAGCAGCGCCTTATCCAGTCCTCGTGCTGCCTGCGGCGCATGCGGATGGTTGATAACGGCAGAGACAATGAGCGCCCCCTCTCCCTCCAGTCTGAGGACCCTGGCGTCATTCGGCTGGTTACTGTTGTCTCGTCCTGTTTTCTTGTTAAAGGGTTCTTCTCTCTTTCAAGATTTATTGCCTAATTCCATCCATGGTTTCCATGGATGCTGAGCAGTTTGTTCCAACTGCGGTTGTTACTTATTGATCGATGACTGGACGCCAACCCTGGTGACTCAGACAAAGACAGCCCTATCGCCTAAAGCATTTACTTTTGGATCGCGCCTTGGTCCCATTCTTATTCATCAACCTTCTGTCTCTTTCTCGTCTCGCCGCCTCTGTCTTATAAACATTCCCAGACATCCTTTCCCTAGTCGACGACAGGCACTATCTGGCCCCCCTCTTCCCCAATAGCCATTTCGCCCACGCCGCTTATCTCTCCTCATCGTTGATTCTCCCCTCCCCAACAGCCAATATGGCATCCGAGACTGTCGTCAACAGTGATCTGCGACGGGCAAGTACCGAAGCAAAGAGACAGCACGACCGCAAGGCCAAATGGGCTTACGGCGGCCGATGTGCGCTTCCTCGGCAGAACCTGGTGGCCCCTTTCCTGCCAATAACTCGTCCTGCGAAACCACTGCACCGACATCTTCCGTGAGTTGTCCTTACTGGCAAGAATGACATGGTCTCGACCACAGGCTGACCTTGACTTCAGCGTCATCAAGCGTTCCAATCAACACAACCTCAACCAGCTCGCACGTTATTCCAGGGTTTCCCTGCATCATGATATCCAAGAGATCCTTGACACCGGTACCTCTGATTCGTCTAGTGGTGAGGAAGTCGAGGAGCCAGTCGCAGTCGAAAAGGGCCCCGAAGTCATGATCGTTGACGAAGACGAGAACCCGCATCCGTATGAGGTGTCTGGTCAGACAATCTTGTCTGACGCTGTGAACAAGGCCGTGGAGAAGTACGAGACAAAGGAGACCGAGAAGCTGGTCAAGGAATATGAGATCATCTCACCTGAGAGCGAGATGAGAACTGGCTATCTGGCTGACGATGATTTCGAGCTGGTAGACCATGTTCAGCTGTGACGAGTTCTCTTGTTCAATTTGTCTTCAACGTTCTCCATATTCTGGCGTTTGATCGTGCTGCTTGACATGGTTCTGGGATCGGAGTTGGTTTAGAGCTTCTTTATTCCCCACGAATCGGTGGTTTTGGATTCAGGATGGTACGCTTGGAACATGTTTGTGCTTCAGATGCTACCGGTGGACTGTCCTTCTTTCATCGTTGTTCTTCATTAGTCCTGCGTGATCACGACTCTTATCATCAGACAGAATGATTTACACCCCAATAGTATCATATGAAACTCATAATTGATCGCATTTAAATTCATACTGTGATTGATGCAATATATTAAGTTGTCTTCAAATGATCAGTGTCAGTCAGACGAGGATGTTGCTAGAGATTAAGTCGGGCACCAATGAGTCGCGACCGATGAAATTCTTTTGCTCGTGCGGGGCATCTATATATCATGAGAAAGGTCCAGCCGAAAAAGAGAAATTGCTGAACAGATGATCCATGGAAATACTAAGAAAGATACAATGAATCTCTGCATTATCTCTGGACCAAACATTTAATACATTGCGACAGCCAGCTGTTTAATGTGGAGTACGGTGTATATGATGGAGTAGCTCCTCGCTGCTATACTGCAGCATAATGCAGCAACAGTCCACATCGGTCACTAACATCTGAATATCAAGATCAAAGCTTCACCATCCTGTATTTAGATAAATAATATGTGGTGCTTTTCTTTCAGAAATCAAGCTAAAGAATGTTGTCTCATGGAATCAAAACACAACAATGATTGATTCCAGAGCGCGATTCTGGAAGCGGTAAGACTAACCTCTTATGGCAATACTCCACAGCCCCAAACAAAGAATGATAAAAGTCGTCGTCTGAGCGACCGGCCAGGCCAAACTATCAGCAGAATTTCTAGAATTGATGTCTTCAACCGAGCGTCCCTGATCTTCAAGTCTGCATCCTGTCCTATATGCAGTAGCACTCAAGATGGAGAAACGGTCAGCCGAGAGTCCGATGGACTTTGAGTGGCAGACGAGAGCACCCGGGGACGTCACATCGCCCTTCTACCAGCTCAGCATGCAACATGACAATCAGAAAAAGCGTGCGTCATTCGCCATTACCCTGTTATAGAAGATTTGAGTATCTGACCTGAAGATAGGCCCTCACAGGATCTTCGACTCGCCTCAAAAGAAAGAAATCCCGGCTCTGCGAGCGCCGAATTCGCAACCTTTCCTCTTCTCCCAGAACCCGTCTCTCTCATCTTCAAAGAACTCGAAGTCACTTTTCGGACAGACAGCATTCACGACACCGCGCAAATTGGACTTGGACTTTTCCTCCGGAGCCGAGAACATGTCATCACCCGAGAACGCGGACAACGAGGATACCCCCGAGCAGCCCGCGAAAGCAGGACATCGAAACTCCCTATTTGGCATGTACGGCAAATTTGCGCCTAGTCCTGGACGCGGCGAGATTCCCAGATTGAACCATTATTCCAACGCGCTGGCGAGACGGGTACAGAAGCGGCGTCGGCGGGACAAGGTGCTTGGGTTACAACTACGAAAGGACGACAGTGATGATGACAGCGATCGACCGAGCAGCAGTGAAGGGAAAGTGGCTGGCAGGAAGAACTCAAAACAAAAAGAGGGACAGGAAGGAAAGCCGCCGTCGCGATTATCGTCGTTTTCGGAATTTTTCGCCTTGCTCGAAGCGCATCCCAACGTCCCCAGCATTCTGTCATGGTGGGCTCAGTTGGTGGTGAACTTGTCGCTGTTCTCGCTCGCGGTTTACGTTGTGTTCGGGTTTGTGTCGGCCATCCGTGCCGAATTTGAGCAGGCTGCGGAGGAAGTGTCTGATACAATACTGGCTGAGATGGCTGTTTGCGCGAAGAGCTACGTGGACAACAAGTGCGCTGGTGGAGAGCGATTACCAGCCTTGGAGACGGTATGCGAAAACTGGGAACGCTGCATGAACCGGGATCCGGCCAAGGTTGGACGGGCCAAGGTGTCGGCCCATACGATGGCTATCATCATCAACAGCTTTATTGATCCCATCAGCTGGAAGGCAATTGTACGTGGTCCACTCACTCTGTTCCCCTACAAATAACAACTAACCGCTTATACGCAGATGTTCTTCCTGGCTACTATTTCGACTGTCACCGTTGTCAGCAACTGGTCGTTCCGCTCCTTCAGAAATCGCTTCAACCAGCATGAGTATGCACCTCCGCCACCGACTTTCTCTCGACAGCCGTCCGGCCAACACCACCCGCCAGTGCCGTCGTCGCAGTATTCTTTTCAACATAATCCAGAGCTTGCCTACAGTGACCACGCTCAGGGACATATTCCAAACTTTGACAACAAGTCAGAGGTGCCCTTGATGCTTGAGCATCCACAGATGGATTTCGTGACAGAACGAACCCGTGATCGCGAGAATCACATGCGCACCCCAAGTCCTGTCAAACGGAATCGGCACTTTTCATGAGACATCGTGTTCCGTCTCTTATTTTTCCTTCTGGTATTTATTTGTTTAACTAAACGACTTTTTTGGACACAGAATTGCATTAGCCGGTGGATCCCGTAGCATCGATGGTTATACATTCAACTCTTCCTATGTATTCTCTTTCCTTTCAATTTTCTTTGTGCTTGAGGGATACTTGAGTTTGGCGGCGTCCACTTGTGAGGAAGGCGAGGTATTGCATAGTGTCAGGCCCAGGAGTTAAGTAGGTGCTTCATGTCCAAATGAACGAACTTTCCACCATATCATGTCGTACATCATTTCTCTACCCTCCGATACATCCACGTCTAGTGGTTTAGAGTAGCAACTGACCACTCGTGGTTTTGGATGATCAACATCTACGTGTTCATCTAACTGCCATAAGATGACCCTAATTTGGCGCCGAACTCTTGACTCCGTGTACATAACCGACCTGACCACATAAAATGGTTGCTTCAGCCTTCAAGGGCAGTCATTCTCTCCCAACTCGGTACTTTCGACTGTTATGAGGTTCATGTGCCATCGAACAAGAGACCTGCGGCCCTGTGGTCATTCATCCCGAGCCCTTCCTCCCCTAGGTGCGGAATTGTGTTCCGAATACCAGAAAACTTCCAAGGTAGACAATACCCACAGGAACTGAAATGCGGCCGAATGGCTGCATAGTCGCCTCCAATCCTGTAAGATGCTTTTCATGCTGACGTATCCCGATCTATGTGTAAACGTTTCTATGACAGGGGAGTGTGGTTTGAATTGTTTAGACGTATTCTTATTAGTATCGTTCCTTTGCATCGCTCTTAGGAAGTAGACGTACCTGATCATTTCCGTTTCTTGACGGTATAACGATATAACGACTTTTATAAAGCAGGAAAAGAGTCAGTCAGCATCAAAAAATGGCGCCCGACAGTTCGCAAGGGAAGCGAAACCTCATCATTGTCTCGAATCGCCTTCCTGTCTCGGTCAAACGCACCGATGGCTCATATCAGTCTAGTCTGTCTAGTGGTGGCCTGGTCACATCGCTCTCTGGGTTGACAAAATCCACCGAATTCCGCTGGTTCGGTTGGCCTGGTCTCGAAGTCCCTGAGAAAAAGGACCGAGAGTTAGTAGCCCAAAGTCTCGATGAGCATAACGCTGTGGCAGTCTTCTTGGATACCAACCTAGCGAATGAACATTACAACAAGTTCTCAAGTACGTGAGCAGGACTTTGCTCAACAGCCTGTCGTTCCTTCCTAACTTACTGTTGTCTCCCCTCCCAGACTCAATCCTTTGGCCTATCCTCCACTACCAGTCTGGGGTTGTATACGATGATGGTCCATGGCAGGCCTACAGGCGTGTCAATGAGCTGTTTGCAGATGCTGTAGCTGAGGCAGCTACAAAGGGGAGCTTGATTTGGGTCCATGACTATCATCTCATGCTCCTCCCAAAGCTTCTGCGTCAGCGACTCAACAAAGAGAAAGCATGCGCCATTGGGTTCTCCTTACATACACCGTTTCCAGCAGGGGATTTCTGGAGAGCACTACCTGTTCGGAATGATTTGCTCGAGGGGATGCTGGCGAGTGACCTGATCGGATTTCACACGGACGAGTACAAGTTGAACTTTATCCAGACTTGTGCTCAGGTTTTGTAAGTGGTCTACCGCGAAATCATAGGTAACTTCTGATAAAAGGACAGAGGTGCTCGAACCGAAATTCCCGGCCGGATCCAGTACAAGGATCGATTAGTTGAGACAGATAAGTTCATCGTTGGAATCGATCCGCAAAAGTTCAAGGATACGTTGCAGAAACAAGAGGTGCAGGATCGAATCAAGCAGCTGGAGGAGAAATACAAGGGGATCACAGTCATCATTGGAGTGGATCGGCTGGACTACATCAAGGGTCTTACGCAGAAACTGAAGGGATACGACCACTTCCTGGATCGTCACCCAGAGTTGAGAAATAAAGTTGTCCTGATACAGGTCGCCGTCCCGAGTCGCGAGGATGTCAAGGAATACCAGGAGTTGGAGACAGAGTTAAGTACGATGGCAGGGAAGATCAACGGGAAACACTGTATGTGCATGTCCTATTCTATTTGTGGGCGAGTTATTACACGCATACTGACCTATGTGATCCTGACAGCCACTCCCGATGGAGTCCCTCTCCTCTACATGCATCGCTCTGTTCCCTTCAACGAGCTTACGGCGTTATACTCGATTGCAAATGCTTGTCTTCTTACATCTACTCGTGATGGAATGAACCTCGTGTCTTTTGAATACGTTGCCTGTCAGGAACAACGGCATGGCGTCCTGGTGCTCTCTGAATTCGCGGGAGCAGCGTCCTTCATGAAAGAAGGAAGTATCAGCTTCCATCCAGCAAACACAACGGAACTGGCAGACGCTGTCTATAAAGCTGTGACAATGGGCGAGGACGAGAAGAAGACGAAATACGAATATCTCAGGAACTTCATTGAAACCAACACAAGGTGAGTCTGTCTATATCCGATTAGGTCCGCTGTCCGCTGAACAAACCTCAGTGCTCGATGGGGGGAGACGTTCATCGACAGGCTGTCCAAACATATCTAAAAGTGTTGATGTAGAATTGACGTAGTGCAATTTGGCTGCATAACAGACAATTTACTGTATAGTACAGTTTTGTTCTACAGTTTCTACTAGAATGTACGATTCCTACGAGTATGTACGATACATTTTAAGGTTGAATTCAAGCATCAGGGAGCAAGTACTTGGATCCATGGAACTACTCTTTTGCCCCGTACTTTCCCCCGTGTATGGTTCTGTACACAGTTTTCTAAACACAGATAGCCTGGTTTCATTATAGAGTAGCATCTGGAGACTGTGGTGCAAACAGCCCTCAGAACAAGTTAATGCTATGAGAATCTGAGCTTGAATAAATGCAATAGCTAAGTCTAAGGCAGGGAAGCTATAGAGGCACTGCTACATTGGAAAGATCCGCGTACATTCTCTCTCCTGAGAGAGGTCAAGTTCAGTATTCTCAGTTTGGACCTCGTTCAGACCTCTCTCTGCTGGAATATCATTACGGTGAGCAGTTTTCTGCCTAACCTGAACCATAAATCCGATGTTGGAGAAGTCAAATGCTTGAGAAAATATGGCATTGATCCACTAGATACTCCCCCAGCCTTCTCTTGCCTTCTCTGTAGCGGACAGCCGGTTCCGCTCTTCGCTGAAGTAGACAAGTGAATAACTCGAAGACCATAGCAGGTCCACCACTAAAATTAGCGTATTTCCTGGCAAGTTCCACGTTCTCTGACGGCTCGATAGTGGATACTTCTCCCGGAGGTGCTTGATTTCTGATGGGGTGACTGGGGAACTGGCAGGTTTTGCCCGGGGAGCAGTGAATAACTTCAGCTCGACGGGCTTCGACCATGGTCAACCACCATGATTCCCTGCCTGTCACCACAACTTGAGTCACCACACGTCATTCAATTCTGCTTCCAGATCAGTCTGTAAGCGACGATAGTGAATATATCTCGCTTAGGTAGGCGAGAGTTAGTGTGATTCTGGCTCCCTCCCCCAGGTATAAATACCCCCTTCCTCCCTCTCCAACTTCTTCTCTTCTTCCTCTCTCTCCTCCTCCTCTTCAACTCTCTCCTTCTCTCTCAGCAGCCTCTGCTCTCTCTTCTTCTTCTTCTTCTTCTTCTCTTTTCATCTTTCTCCTTCATGCAACCCTTCATCGAAGACATGGACTGCTTGTCTGTGTTGAACAACACTTGACTCTCTTGAGAATGATAGAAGCTAGGTCCCCCACCTCAAACGCTCTTTCTTTTTTTGCCCTTTTTCATCTTTTTTCCCTTTGCCCTCTGCCTGAGCATGTGGACGTCCTGCTGGTTCCTCGCTTCCCTGTGGAAGTGTGCTCTGGTTTGTTGTGGATGAGAGTTGGAGTTCACTTAAGGGAGTTGCCGAAGCGATATAGTACGCTCTCCCAGGCTTCAGGGCAACCTGAGTAACCTTGTGCTCCGTACGGCTCAATACGACTCTGCTTCCGATCACTGCATGCTTTCGTTGGTTGAGTACGCCCTACACCAAAAGAGTGCTGTTGACCATGCCCGGGATACAACGTTTCGGCGCCGGCCATCTGTATCACAGTCTCTGGGGAGAGATTTCAACTGGCCCCTTGGAAGAAGAGAGCTCAGTCAAGTACTTGTTGGAGGTTTTACTCTCTTGCCTTCCATGTATCAAGGACAGTTGCTTGCTCGTGGCTCCCTCATCTTCTGCCCTACCTATGCAACCCCCTGTCATCATTCCCCTTTGCCCCCCTAGCAGTCGGTTCAACCGGCTGATAGTTTTTATAAACCTTAGGAGCGCCCGACGAACCGACCCTGGATGAACCGAACTCAACAAAAGGAACTTGTGGGAGGAGTGAGGAATGAGGGAGTGAGAGGGGTTGTTGATCTTGGCTTTTCTTTGTTTACTCTCTGTGTTCTCATGTATCTTCCATTGTACTTCGAAATAAACTCATCCAACTCTTCCAAAGTATACTACTCAGCTGTAGCAATGTAAACACTTTTTTGTTTCTGTTTCTATATGCTTCTCATTTGTAAGTATCTTTCTGTAGCTTGGGGTACATATGGAGTTGCTTCTTCTGTAGTTGATTCGTGTATGAGGTCTTTTGCAACTATTTGTTTTTTCCAAATCGTACCTGCCTTCCTTCATGTGTTCTCTCATACTGTAGGCAGATTCAGAGTCCTACTTACATATGTTTCTCTCTTGTCTCAAGCTCTTCGCGTGGGACCCTAACATGATGCTTTTCAAGTAGAATAATGCCTCTTATCTGCGAACGCAACTGCCACCCATCAAGTCTTCCTCACTGTCAAAGCGCTGACAGTCTAGGTTCAGCAAGAGTATTCTGCTTTCTGTTAATGGTGGATATCTGCTAACAGCTCATGGCTACTCTTAGATGTGTCTAGCTCGCCGGTGATGAGTGTGAATCGACAACATTTTCCATTGTGAGTTATACGCTTCGATATTGATGCGACCGTCTCCTTCTCGAAATCTCTGTTCAATGCCACGATGCAACATACAACCTTTGCTCTACTCGATCAAGACCCGAATGTCATATCTGTTGCGTGCTGCTGGCTGGGGGGTCATCCTCGGCTCTCCTACTGTTCCTTGAGAGGGGCTTATGATTTAGATATGTGTGGCCTCCGACGTGAGCTGGCCCAGGTATGTGATCAGAAGCGATACTGCGTGGAGGATCGCTCATGAACTGACTGCATTCTTACTAGGTTCGAGGCGTTAAACCGCGGCGAATTACCTCCCTCCTGTTTGCTTTAGTGAGATTATTGCCGGACACAACATATCTACACGACTTCGATAGGGCAAAGGACTGGAGAGATCCGAACGTGCCAGTGCCATATGAGACAGAACGCAGGGTGACCGAGGGATTCTGAAATACTTCATCAAGGGTCGTGCGAGCGCCCTCAAGATACTTTGGGATCATGTGCAATTTCGTTATACACTTTATATATGTGAAGGTTTTTTTGGCGTCGATCAGCGTCATGTCTTGCATTCCGCTGATAGAAACGATAGTGCGATATCCAGCCTTAGGTCTTATTGAAATATGCCACAAAGCACCGAAGATCAAGGATCTAGGTGACTGGATAAGCTTCTTGGTGACGTTGGCACCAGCAAGATCTAAGGGCAAACGGAAAATTATGGTGAACGAGCGTTTCTTTCTAAAGCAATACTTGGACAGTATGAACAATCTCGTTCTTACTGACGGACGTCTGGTTTGACACAGGTTTCGTCTCTTCCGTTCACGAAAAATGCATATCGCGCATTGAAAGCTCAGCTGTGTCACGCTTTCGGATTTCTGTTCGCTCGGCTGTGTTCTCAGAGTGGTTTGGGCTCTCTTCATCCAAGACACTCCCCACAACGAAACTCCACATGTGACTCGAAAGGGATTAAGAATGAGTACAATGACTGACGATACCGGGCAGGTACATCCGCTGCATTGCGTTTAGCTACCTATGCGACTGTCCAGCAGGCTTCATAGGAATGCCCGCTTGGGAAGCTACGAGGACGGTAAGCTGCATATAAAATGCTTGCATTTTACTTCCCGTCACTGTTTTATTGGTCATGCTAACAAGTCTTGAAGCGAGTCACCAGGCTCGGAGCATGATCTCGACGAAAGTCTCGTGCCGATGACACAGAACAATCCATCCTATAACGTAACAACGTGAGCGGTCTTATCATACCTCGTCAGTATGCACAGCCCTCCGTCGCGCATGATTTTGAGAAGAGTCGGACAGGCACTCAAGCTTGCCTCTTGGCTTGTCTCAGTCCTAGACAAGGCGGCTCCCTGCCATTTCCCCATTCTTGGCCCACTTTCGGAGATTCGACATCGTGAGTTGGAGGGAGTCGACGTTCGAGATTACGCTCAGAAGAGAGCATCTGATTGAAATTCCGATATCCTAGGATTGCGTGTCTTAATCTCTGGTACGACTTCGTCATTGATCATCCAGCATAATCATCATGCAACGGGATATGCAATCTCCCTGGGTACAGGGCCCATCCGGTGACCGTCGGGGTACTCTGCCTAAGAGCCTACTTGCCAAGAATGACATACTTAGATTGTACCTGTAGCAGATATTGTGAGCCTCGAGTGACCGTCGCTGACTCGCTGAGGCCCCGTTTCTGCCAAGGCAAGGTGTGAAGGGGTGTCGTGATTGTGAGAGGAAGGAAAACCCAGCTTGAGGAACACCTTCACGGGCATCATGCCCATCAAAGAAAAGATCTTCATATTGTCCGGCATAAGAGTACCCTGGATTTGTCATGTCTAAGTTTATTCTGCAGAGCGCTGATTGGGTTACATTTAGGAAGCCAAGCTTGCCGAGCCTGATCGTCATATTGCTAAAGGATTGGTGGTCCAACCAGAAGGATTCTAAAGTAAGAAGTCGCATTATCATTGCAACCCAAGACCCTCCGCGTCCTTGTATTGGCATAGGGAAGATATCCCGCTAATCGCTTCATTCTGCTTTATAGGACCTTATCTGCTGAATGTGGGGTAACCGCTATCAATACGGAGTACCACCGTCTATGTCCGTCGGCCAAAGCTCAATCCAGTGTTTGTGAATGATACCCCTCTTAGGGACCTTCCGAAAACTGCAATGTGTGAATACTTGGCGAAGAAGAGGCGAAGGAGGCATATTCACAAATCGCTTGGCAAAGGAGACATGACGATTCACAAAATGCCTTGGGTTGTTTGGCAGGCGAGGGAGCCAACTATAAAAGCCGGGTAGATGGCAGAATCTGCTTCTGAACTTTCCTCACTCTCAGGGCGTCACTACTAATACGCAGAGAGGGAAAAACTATCTAAACAACATGAAGTTCACAGCCTTCTCACTGTTGTCCCTGGCTTGTGCCGCTGCGGCCTCCCGAGAGGGGGAAGCGGCCATGGACCGCCTCATGTCTGTCAAGATCGAGCAGAGAGAGAGATTCAGGGCTGAAGGTCTTTTCGATCTCAACCAGTATCCTGATCTGGGAAGCCAGAAGTGCGTCAATGGAAAAGCAGGAGAGTACTCGTGCGAGAATGTCGACCTTCTTGGCTTCCTCAGTCATCAGGCTATGGGCAGCAAGACCCGTGAGGGCAATGACATCTGGGGTATGCTTCCTGACTGAGAACATCTCCAACAAGGCTCACTAAAATTCTATAGGATGGACTTCGCCCGATGGTCGTGAATTTGGCATCATTGGTCAAACCGATGGCACGGCTTTCGTTGAAGTGCATGCGGATGGAAGCCTCGACTACCTCGGACGGCTGCCAACTCAGACAGAGTCTAGCGTGTGGAGAGACATGAAAGTTATTGGTGACCATGTCTACATCGGATCGGAGGCTCCTGGTCACGGCCTCCAGGTGTTTGATCTGACGAAGGTCTGTTGAGTGATACTTACCCCGATCGTGTCGAGTATGGATAGCTGACCTTGTATGCGGCATTGCTAGCTCCTGCGCACGAATCCTAGTACACCTACCACATTCTCGATTTCCCGCGATCTCAAGGCCTGGTACAACGGTTTTGGGAGCTCTCACAATATCGTCGCTCACGAAGAGACGAACATGATCTACGCAGTTGGAACGACCAGGTCTCATAGCTGCGCTGGAGGCCTGTGGATGGTGGATGTTTCCAATCCCGCGAAGCCAACGTCGCCCGGCTGTGCGAACCAGGATGGCTATGTGCATGACGGTAAGCCGTTGCTAGGCCTGATCGTTGCATGCGCCTACTAACAATCACAGCACAATGTGTCATCTACAAGGGACCCGACAAGAAGTACAACGGACGCGAGATCTGCTTCAACTACAACGAGGATTCGCTGACCATCGTCGACGTCACCAACAAGAAATCCCCGGTGCAAATCTCCAAGACTCCCTACGCTGGCTCTAGCTACACTCATCAGGGATGGCTTACCGACATGGAGAACATGTCGTATCTGCTGCTTGATGACGAGCTCGACGAGCAGGACGGGACCGGGGCGGCCGCCAACGGGCATACTACAACTTATATCTTCGACATCCGCAATCTTGCTAAACCCAAGCATACTGGAATTTACCAGTCTCCCGTTAAATCGATCGACCACAACCAATACGTGCTCAATGGCCTCTCTTACATGTCTAACTACGGCAGTGGCCTGCGCATCGTGGATGTCAAGTCCGTCGCGCAGGATCCCACTGGTTCGAAGTTCAAGCAGGTCGGCTTCTTTGACTGCCACCCTGCTGATGATGCCGAAGGTGGCAAGGTTGAGTTTGTTGGAAGCTGGAGCGTTTATCCTTACTTCAAGAGCGGCAACATTCTCCTGAACAGCATTGAACGGGGTGTTTTCTCTTTGAAGTACACTGGCCCGAAGTGATGACCTGTTGATTGCCTTGACGATTTGCACCTTTCGATGATTGGAACGTGTTAATGAGCTGAATAGAATGAATTCAATACATCCACTATCCACGACTAGACGTTAATTAAATTAAGTCTTACCCACGTAAGAATAAGCCTATGAAGAACATGCGCCAGGATGAGATAGGCACAACTCGCATCGCGTAACTAGGTGAATGGCTTGATATTTGTGAATTGACAATGGTTAGAGCAAGAGGGAGCCTCTTTAAATTAAGCAGCGTTTATACAACGCTGTACTTGAAGAAGCACTTACTCGCCAAAAGTCCATGAGAGCGCAAGGTACTCAGTTGAACAGACTCAAGTCTGAGGCAAACAATGCTTCGTCCGATGATTGGACCGTCATATGACATCAAAAATGATTCAAGGTAAATAGGAACTAGAGACGATAAACGTCCAACTGAAGCAATGCGAAGGGCTTGAATGCATACAGACATCATAGGGGCCAAGGGCCGTGCAAAGTCATGACATATTACCTTGGTGGTCTCAGAGGTAGTGAACGGCTGCGCCATGCTTCTCTAAATAGTGCAGCATCCACACTGGTATTATTTACCGGGGTCCTGTTCCTGCGTGTTGAGTCTGCTCCTAGGTACTCACAATCCAAAACCTCTCTTATAAGACACACTGCTAAATATATCCTGTCTGCGACAAGAACTGAACTTACTTTTGGGTGAGAATTCCGCTAACTTGGTTCCTGATTGCTTCATATTGTTTTGTCGCTACCGATATGCATCTACTGACCTCCACACTAGAGCTTGAACAAAAGCCCGCATAGGAAAGAATGGTCATATACTTTCCGATGCCATATGCCTCGGCGACTATGAGATTCGCTTCACCGGATGACGACGGTCAATGGAATTTGAGCTCATCCGGGGCCTCTGTTGCTGATGATCGCACAAGGTTCATTCGGGTTGAAGAACGGTCACACCTATCAAGAGCCTCGGTATGAGGGGTGCTGGATGTCAAGTCTAGCTGCGATTGCAAGCCTGCCGCTTATGTGAAGGGTTGGTGGCACGTGGCCAAGTGTCTGGCAGAGATGCGACGCTGGGAGAAGGCTCCAACTGTTGTTGAGCGTGGACTGAATATTGAGGAGGAGACCGCTGAGTGTCGGAATGAACCGAGGGGTTTATTAGGGGAGGGTTAGCAGAGCTTGCAAAAGTCAGCAGAGTGCGATGTTTGGCTTACAATGAGCACTGGAATGGTTGAAGTGTGGTATGTGTCTTTCTTATCGTCAGTAACAGTATCTACAGCTTAAGGGTTGAGCTGGTTTATTATCTTGGGCTTCAGTTTGTAGATGATTTCTGAAGTGCGATTCATGGTCTCTCCTGGCTTAATGGGATGATGTGTTTGTAGCTTGACTGATTCTCAAAATAGAATATCATATCGTGCAAGAAGTTTAAGCCTTAGAGGTTGGTGGGATACACTATAACTCAGCGCTGTGAGCTACTACCTCTAGTTCGTGCTACTGATGAATTTACAAAAGCGAACGCTCGTAGCCCGTCCACCCAAGGGCCTCTCTTTTGCAAAGCCCGATTACACTCAACTAGAAGGGGTTAAGGGGAGATAGTTGTACCGTGAGCAGAGAGCACCAAAATATGTAGGACTATGTATGGCTCTACGGCACCGTCTTCTTCGGAAATAACCAGTTTTGAGACGCCAGTATCAAATCAACGTAGGGGATTGGAAAGACGGACTGTCTCGCAAAAGCAAGAGGTGGGCCGCAATTATACAGTAACGGGATTTGCTGGAATGAAGAGAGAGTCAAAAGCTTTACCGATAATTCTCCTGTGGCTAAATGGTGGTCATCGAAACTACCCAGGTTACTTAGGGTGAGCTAGTAGCAAGACAATGTACATGTCAACACCAATGCTTTCTTTTGCACAAGAAGCCCATCTTTCTTAATCAGTCACGTAAGGCTTTGAGGCATCGTAAATCAGACGGAGCTCGACAAGGAATAGATATCCCTCATACTACTCCTCTACATTCTACGGATAAAATTGGAGGAATCGCTCTAACTTTCCATTGCCACCCCAATAGGAAATATCTCCGAAATCCACTTTAGGGCTGAACCGTTCTGCGAAACCAGCAATAGACGGTGATCTCAAATTTGAGTCCAGGTACACTTTGAGTTGGGCCACTTTGAGACCCGCACGGAACCATGGAAGCATGTCATTGATCTTACAACTCATGCTCTACACCTCGGTTCCGCAAGAGTCCTCGCTCCGAAACTGCCTCACGACTACGGTCATGAAACTACATCGATTCGGCATTGCACGTAACTTGACTCCGACGTTGCAATGCATTTCGTTAACCAGACACAAAGATGCGTGGAAGAATCCGGCACTTCAGGCGATAGAGTTCAGCCACAGTATGGGGTAAAAGGTACCCGGTCCAATCAGGGTTACTAATAAGCCTTGTGGATGCATAGGAAGTATTTGAGAGTTGAGAGGTGAGGTCTCATGATTCCCCGCACTCTGCAGTGGAGGATCGAGGCCCAATCATCTGCAATAGATCCGAAGTATGCCGGCGAAATTTTGCCGAAACACTGTCATCCTGAGGCATGTCGACAAGCTTAGCTCAAGCCTTAGCCACGAGACTCCTGTGGATCCACGGTTCATCCCTTGACTATCTGAGATGCCTCGGGTCGGCAGTTGATGAAGATGAGGTCCTGAGAGGCTTCTGAATATGCATACTTCGGGGATGTATCCAAATATGGACATACTGAAGGGATATAAAGCGCGTGCTGCGCGTGATATTGAGTGCAGTACCAACAGCATCTTCTTCTCCCAGGTCGTCGAGACTGCTTCCAGTCATTTTGGCATTCCAGATCAACCCCTAGCCTGAGATCCTCACCGACATGTCTCTGCGCTCACTCTTCGTAGCTGGCTTGGCCACCCTGGCACTGGCGGCGCCCGCCCCCCAGATTCAGGCCCGCCAAGGCATGAGCTCTAACGAGCTCGAGAGCGGCCCTTGTCGTGATGTGACTTTTATCTTTGCTCGAGGCTCCACCGAGCAGGGCAACATGGTATGTCTCTCACCCAGGTGTTCACTAACGTGAGTACGTGACAGAGTTGACGATCTTAGGGGTTCATCGTGGGACCTGGAGTCTGCAGCTCGCTGAAAAACGATCTCGGCTCCGACAAGGTCGCCTGTCAGGGCGTAGGCGGCGCATATACCGCCCAATTGGCCCCCAACTTCCTTTCTCAGAACACTGATCAGGCATCCATCGATGCGGCCACGGATATGTTCGACCTGGCTAACACCAAGTGCCCGAATACGAAGATCGTGGCTGGTGGATACAGGTATATTGTCTGCATCTGAGACAGTGAAGACCCGCAGCTAACCTGATATAACAGCCAAGGTTCTGCTGTCATCGATAACGCGATTCAGGCGCTTGACAGTGATCTGAAAGATAAGGTCAAGGGAGTGGTTCTTTTTGGTTTCACCCGTAATGTGGTTGACAAGGGACAAATCCCGGGTTACCCCAAGGACCAGACCAAGATTTACTGCGCTGTTGGTGATCTGGTTTGTGATAATACACTGATTATCACCGCTGCCCACTTGAGCTATGGGGCCGACGCAGATGATGCTGCTAAATTTCTTGCCTCAAAGGTCCAGGGATAATCGTGGATCATGATGACAATGTCGATTGACTGGGAAAAACAATTGGAAAGCTGGTCTGTCCATAGTCATATGTCGACGTATCCATGAGAACGAATTCAGGAACTTGTTGTTCGATTCACGAATGATGTAGCTGTTTGAGAGTAGACAATTTCTAAGCCATGCAAATCTACTCCTAGCAAGAGCGATGGAGGCGTGTGACAGAGAGCCATCTCGACTGTCAGACATGGATTCTGACTCGACTCTCTCTGCACGCATCTCTGCTAAGTTTGAAACAAAAATCACACATATGCTTGCATTCACTGAGAGTCCTCGTATCGAGCAACTGACACAAGCTTAAACAAAAAGTTCTTGATCCTTTCACGCGATGCTTTTGGCTCTGTGCCTCGCTCTAGCCTTCATCAACAAACCCCGACAGTGAAGTTGGCCTCAACTAGCCCCTGGCTCATCTCAAGATGCCACAACCCATGCAGACAAGACCCGCTTCAGCACAAGGGGAAATGAGTCCTACAACGTAACTTGACCAAAAAGCCCTTAACTCTTACTTTAATCAATCTTGAGAAAGTTGATGTGACTGACTTTGAAGGCCGGAACTTCAGGCTACGAAGGTAAGCAGAATAACTCCCAACATATGCCTTACGACGAACCGCGAGATACGTTTTCTGCAAGATGTTGCACAGCTGAGCCGACAGCACACATACTCCACGATGTTGAATTGTCTGAGCGTTTGTTCCCTCATGATGCAGCACCTAGATGCAGCACCTGCGATGTTTGCGCTACGTATATGCGAGATCGCGAAGGAGCTCGAACCGAGTCAACTATACCGTGCTTCTCCACAAGAAGCAGAAGCTATGGCGCAATGCATCATAATAATGGCGATCAGGGAAGGTTTTTAGATACCCCGTATAAGGACCAAGACTGCTCTTAGGGCGCCGTTATCAGTTCCGCTTCTTGGCTTTCCCGGAAGCTGACCGGCAAGACTGCAGCGTGTAACATTGGTACGATTATTCAGTCGCTGATATTCAGTGGCACCGCCGCACACCAATGACGCTCCATGCAGAAAAGGAAGTGTTGTGGCATTTCGGGCAATTAGAATGTACAGAATTGTATTCCTTCGTTGACTCTCAGAGTCAACAACTTGTATCAGAATCTTGCAACCGAATGATGGCGGGGTGAACATGTCGATAACGTGGTGGGGGCGACGAACTGGGTGATAACGCTCCGCTACGGGAATATCACGACATCACCGACAAATGAGCGTGATTTATGCCTGCCAGTAACGACGGATGTAAACCACGTGCTTCTTGACCGAAACTGAGATTTCAGCTTAATAGTGCGGCGAGGCAGTCAAGTCGCGTCTACCAAATCTCGCTCTCCCTATTTCATCGCTCTGTCCGCGTGCCAATTCTTTCAGCAAAACCAGGTAGCCTGAGAGATTGCATGCGGCAGCCAATGGCGGCAAAATCAAACGAGGATGGAGTCCCGTTTGGAGCGGAAACCCAGGTTTGGGACGAGGAGGGCTGTCGATCTCGTTTCGCGGCGACTGATGTGGGAGAAGGCCGAAACGATGTGTTTGCAGCGCCATTGAAACGACATCTGCGGTCGAGACATTTACATATGATCGCAATTGGAGGTATGTCTCGCTTTGACAACCAAGCGAATGCACGCCTAACGTCAAGCCAGGAATTATTGGACCCGGCTTGCTGGTGGGTTCGGGCAATGCCCTCAACAAAGGCGGTCCAGCGGGGGTGTTGATCAGCTTTTCTTTGGTTGGTATCATAGTTTTCTTTGTCATGTAAGTCCTAGCCGAGCCTCTAAATAGCCATGGCTGATGAGCAAGGCAATCGTTGGGCGAAATGGCTACACTCATTCCGGTTACTGGCTCCTTTACCGAATATGCGCAGCGTTTCATCGATGACTCTCTTGCTTTTGGGTTAGGATGGGCTTACTGGTATCTATGGGTGACGGTAGGCCGAACCTGCTCTTCTACTGTGACTGTCAGTCCTGACCACTTAGGTCCTTGCCAATGAATACAATGCCATCTCGCTTGTTATAGGATACTGGACTGATGCTGTACCTCAATGGGGTTGGATACTCATATTCTGGTTCCTATTTCTGGGTCTGTCTAATCTAGGCGTTTTGGCCTACGGCGAGATGGAATTTTGGCTGTCATTGTATGTTTCCTGCGGATCTCCCTGCACGCATATGATTGACTATTACTAGAATCAAAATAGTGGCCCTCATTGCTTTCTTTATACTGGCGATTTGCATCAGTACAGGGGGGATAGGGCCTCAGCCAATTGGATTCAAGTACTGGCACGATCCAGGGCCTTTTGCGGACTCTATCAATGGTGTTGCCCGAACCTTTGTCGTTGCCGGAACGTTATATGCGGGAACAGAGATGTAAGTCAGATGATTAAATTGCAGACGCGAAGATCGCATGTTGATTGCGTAAGGGTTGGCATTACTGCAGGGGAATCGGCAAATCCACGCAAAGCTGTCCCGACAGCCATCCGCCAGGTGTTTTGGCGGATTCTGATTTTCTATATCGGTGAGAAAAAGCCATCAACTAACTTAGATTCTGTCTACTGACTGCTATAGGAACGATGTTCTTCATCGGAATATTGCTACCGTACAATGACAAGAGACTACTGGGCTCCAGCTCCAATGCAGCAAGCTCACCCTTGACCATCGCTTTGACGGATGCTGGTATTTTGCCTGCAGCTCATCTGATCAACGCGCTCATTGTGATCAGCGTCATATCTGCAGGAAATGGTTCCCTCTACGTAGCGTCTCGCACTTTGCTCTTCATGGCTCGTAATGGCAAAGCGCCTCGATTCATCGGACGCACCAATGGAGCGGGGGTACCCTGGGTTGCTTTGATATTCTCCAACCTTTTTACCTGTATTGTGTTCCTCACACAGTCCTCGGGGGCCGGAAAGATCTATTCTGCCTTGATCACTTTGTCCGGTGGTGAGTTGACTTCTCGTCCTCCGATTCTTGTCTGCTAACGAGTGACAGTGGCGACATTCATCGTCTGGGCCGTAATCGGAATCTGCCATATTCGCTTCCGTCAAGCCTTGGTCGTGCAGGGAGAGGATCCTGCGAAACTGCCCTTTAAGGCGTGGCTGTATCCGTGGGGCACATACTTCGCTGTAGCACTGAACATCTTCCTGGTATTCTTCCAAGGATACACGGCGTTTTTGAATCCCTTCAGCGCGGACGATTTTGTGATCAACTATATATTGCTTCCTGTGTTTGCCCTGTTTGTTTTGGGCTATAAGTTCTGGCACAAGACTAAGTGGGTGAAGCTAGAAGAGATGGACATTTGGACAGGTAGGAGGGAGTCGCCAGACATTGACAAGGCGGATGAACCGCAAGTCAAGAAACAGAAATCATGGTGGTCTCGGATATTGGCCGTTGTCATTGGCTGAAGATTTGATACAGGATACCTAAGAGTAATTGATAGCTCTTAGAACAATTGAAAATGCTGAGATAACTCAAGTCTATTCAGTTACTGCTTGATACTTTAGACCTCGGCTCCTGCTGTCGTACGCGTCACCTATCGGGCCTGTAAACCTGAATCAGTGCGTAATGAAGTTATTCCACCAACAATCAACTGTAGATGAAGAGAAGTTGCAGATATCTATGCATAATTTAGAGTAGACAGCTGGGTTCCAGCGGATTCAAATTAAGGACCTCCCTGATAAACGGGTGTGGTTCCAATTTAGGATGCGGGCCGTGATTGCGGATTCCGTCGGAGCTCCCGGTGGAAGAGGTTTTCAGGATTATTAGATCCCAAGACGATGATGCTCGTCGTGGGAGAGTGTATGGGTGAGAATGATTCTCTTGTAAGAGTCCATCGAAGTCGCTTGGACGAAGAGATAAAATTCGCTTCGACATGGATCCATTCCGGTATATGACGACCTGAATTCACGGGTGGAGGATCCCCGCAAAGAACACTCCAAACCATCAGATCAACATCGTGATATCCAGTATGCCAAGTGATTGGACAATCCTTGTCGAGTTATTCTGCAGACCATCGACTAGCGTCTCGGATAAGCACCAACTGATAACCTCCTCCCATCGAATCAGACCGCGCCCTTGGCCAACGGGGATCACAGGGACGGGGATCTCCTTCCCATCCCCTGGTGCTTTGGCCGCCATTCACTTCATCACGGGATGTGGACCATCCAACTACAGACACTGAGCAAGCTACGATTCGCTTCAACAGGGAGACGGGACTGTTTCGAATTGCCGCCAAGGAGCGTCTTCTCCCAGAATTCCAGATATGATCCGCATTCTGACGGGATCGGCATCACGTCTGCCGAATCGGTTGTCCAGTGTTCTCGCGGAGAGCACCGAAATGTAACCCCGCGTTGTGGTCAATCGTATTGACTATCCTATCGCGATACGCGGCTGGCATGATGCTGTACAATCTACAACGTCGGGGAATCCGAGCGGCCAACGACGTCTAGACGACCAGGAAACGAGAATATTTAAGCCTGCCATTCCCACTGGATCTCAGAGTTTCGTACCAAGGAACTCAGCTCAAATCAGATCCTCCGAAGATCCTCCACTTCCCCGTCGATCAAGATGTTGTACAACAAGGTACGTCGCCGATACACCTCTATACCTCGACCGCGATAAGCGTTCCACCATTCTAACAAAACAACCAGATCATCGCCGTCGCAGCCCTGCTGCTCGCCCCTGTCCTGGCCGCCCCTACTGAACTCGACACCCGCGCCTGCGCCTACACCTGCGGCAGCAACTGCTACAGCGCGAGCGCCGTGAGCGCCGCTAAGGAAGCCGGTTATGAGCTGTACTCCTCGGACGAGACCGTCGGCAGCAACAACTATCCCCACAAGTACAACAACTACGAGGGCTTCGACTTCCCTGTCTCCAGCCCCTACTACGAGTGGCCTATCCTGAGCTCCGGACGGATCTACACCGGTGGTTCCCCTGGTGCGGACCGCGTTGTCTTCAACAGCAATGATCAGCTGGCTGGTGTTATTACACATACCGGGGCTAGTGGAAACAACTTTGTCGCTTGCACTTAGGCTAGGATTTCGACGGCTGCTGGCGGCAGACGATTTGTTTATAGGTTCAGCAAAGGCAAAGGACCATAAAATCAATTTTGATAATGATTCATGCTCGTGGCCCAGTCCATAATTTTCCTTCCCCATTTTGCTATTGAATAGCTTTGGAGTTGAACAAGCCATTCGAGGTTGTATATGATAAAGATAATTCCTTTCATTATCTCAGTATTAGGGCTTCAGATATATATCACACCGCGGAACATTGAGGCAAGGTGCAGAACTAAGCAAGTGAACATGCTACTGAGATGGCTCTTTTTCATCTGCCACGAAGCTAAGCAATACCTCGCAGTCTGCCAATTCTGGATTAAAAATTATCCTGCTCGAGTGAGAATTGCTATCACAAGACTCCTTGTCTTCCTTATCAAGTGCTTGTGCTTATCTACGTGCTGACACAGTGACACTCCACCTCACATCACATGGGCTCAGCAAGAGCATCTCTTCGCACTGATAAGCACGAGCTGTAGCCAATTATCGAGCTATATTACGCTTGTTCAGGATTGAAAACGCGCAACAAGGTATTCTACCATAAATGACGAGCTTGGTAAGTTTCCGCTCCCAACAACTCACAGCAGGAGAAGCACTGTCGAGTGTGGACTCTGACGGGCAAGCAGGTATGGAAATGCAGGGCTGTATAGGGAGCTCTACAGATACTGAGGCGATCTTCAACAAAGGTGATATCGTTACACGATGCATGGCTAACGGACACCGTGATCGGCAGGTCTCCCCTTTCCTCTCTTGCCTTGAAGTAGAGCATTTGCCTGGGATCTCTATTTGATCATCATCGCTCGCTTGAATGACTATTAGCAGGTGACAACTTCTACCTCGACCAAAGAATCTATTATGTGGTGGACATCATCCGTTCAATGACTCCTAATGCCAGAGTGCTACAATGACCAGCATTGTTCAGGCGTGAAGCGGCTAAAAACGTGAAGCAAGACATGCCTAGTGCGACTGGATCAGACACTGGGGGCGGCCTGCGCAGCTGAGCAGAATACATGCTAGATGAATCCTTGACTTGCGTTGACGTCTCACAATAATACAGGCGTGCGAAGCGCGACATGGATGGGAACTGGAAGGCGTCACAGTTTTATGGGAGGAAGGGGTTACATGATCTCCCTTACCAATGTTCGTGGAGTGTCTCCGTTGTGAAACCTACGATCACAAAAGCCGTCCAACCGTTTGCGTGATTCAGTGAGAATACTGAATCATATTCACTCACAGAGAGGAGCGAAAGGCTCCGTGTCCCCAGCGGTCTAGCATAACCCCCCACGGACAACAGGATGATAGGGAGGGATGAAGAGCGTACCGTGGATGAAATGCGAAGCCAATGCTTATGATCGAGGTCAAGAACCCAGGGAAAGAAGCAAGTAGCATCCAGTCCGCATAAACACAATGGACCAAATCGAAACGGATGGGATCGAGGGCGAAAGGCGCGATTGCACGCTTGAGTCCGTCACAACTGAAGAAACTCATGGACTCCTTAGGGAGGACGTGGTGCCTGAACTGAGGGATACATCGCCGTATTAGTGACCTCTAAACGGTTCGTCGAGATCGAGAACAGGAGAGGAGCTCGAGATATTGCAAGAGAGATATATGTGACGCCAAACGCCATTTTGCAAGCACCCAAACACTGTAGAATTATACCGCATCGCATCCGCCTATGTGCGACGGAGGAGAGTTGAAGGTTGTGCGGGCATCACGATGCTGCTGCCTCTGATATCGACCATGCACCCGTGCTGAGTTTGAACCCGCCGGTTCCGGAGCTCTACCTGACAGCGCGTCAAGTTCCAAGGTGCAGAGACCTCTTCATAGAAATGGAGGCCGAAGCCGTGCTATTGACGGTTAGCATCCATTGACAGCTGTAAGTGTCGCCTGCTTATTCCTGTGGGTGAAAGAACTGTTTATCGACTATTGAATTCTGCGAAACACAGGGAAACACTTGGGAGACGCCTGAGCATGAGCGAGTCCATGCACCACCGGTCCTAAGCCGATCTTGAGAGCGAGCAGTAATCAGGAAATTGCCAAATCGGTGGTCATTTTCTCTATGAAACAAGGGAACCATCGCGATATCGGGTCAGATCACATCGAGTGAGTTGCCATTGCGGCAATTAGATTAGTAGCCACCTATCTGGCTTTGTTGCTTCACTACTCCGTACTCTGTCACCGTGTACTGGGAGAAGATAACACCCCCGTCAAGACAAGCCAGGTTGGTTTCAGGCTATTGAGAATTTGTGAAGGTTTCCGCTTTGGCGTTTCAAGGCTCGGGCAAATTGCTTCCAAAGGCGAACACATCTTCTTGCGCAATCACAAATTGGATGGCAGACATTCCTGCGTGGAAGAAGAGGATGGTGGAGGGAAGTGACGTAAGTCAAATCCAACCGTGATTGGAAAATTGCTTGTGGCTGTCTTGAAGCTCAAAGATGATCAAACTCCCGTCTTCCTGCCCTAAATTTGCGACATAGGGCGGGAGGCCTCGATCAGTCCTTGTATGATCGACATAATCCTGTTTCGAGCGACATATTGGTTAAGATCAGGTCATTCATGAGCCCACAAGCTAGAGTATGAGACACTACCTGAATTTGAGCATCTCGCAAGGTTGCAACAACATAACGCTTTCTGAGATCCGGCATGCATCCAACTGTGGTAAAGGATGTCTAGCCCTCCCATTGCCACTACATTAAGGCTCATCCATGAATGGCGAGACGATCACATGTCCTCTGTATCCAGACATGATGCCATTTGACGACAGCTTTTCGTCCTTCCTGCCATCAACCTTCTTTCAACAGGTTATATTAAGGGGCGACCAATGATGATCTTTGATACGAGAAAGACCGAACAGACCAAAAGGAGCGCTAAGCATTCGACTCTGTCAACGCCGCAAGGTAACCGTTTTAGTCCCCTTGGCTGATTCTCAGAAACGGAGGAGGCTGGTCTAGCGGATGTTGGCGGCTTACTGACGCAGACCTAAGAGACTCGATGCGAGAACTTGGAATTACAATGCGTATTATCGCCACCATCCTGCCCCTGTTCTATGTTCTCACTCGTCCTTGCATCAGTTGCCCTGGCTAAAAGTCGGGCATAACGGCCGCCATCCCTGCTCCTGGCGAGGTCTTGGAGCCCAATCAATCAATTGTGCAATTTGTGGCCATGACACACCATGTCCCTTTGGGAAAGCTGTGCGAATGTCCCGTGACTGAGCGGAACAATAAGGGCGACGTTCGTATGGCGAATTTACAGAGTGTCCAGGTTCCAGACTTCAGAACGTCATGTATCGCGGGGGTTAGGAGACTTGAGTCGAAGTTTCGAGAATGGCCATCAATATTCAAAGGGAAATCCGACTCTTCGAGCCCAGTCCTTCGTGCCACCAAAACCTGATTTACTGCAAGTCGGCCGAACTATTGAATCAGGACAGACAGCTTGCTTGGTATTTTGGACCAAGCTCAGTAGTCTCAGAGAAAGCTGAGACTGTGCACGGCTACTGCAGCTTGAAGTCTGATCCTGAACCCCACTCTGCCGTAGTCGGTAAAACTAGTTGGAGCTACTGCTGAGTTGTTGCCGATATTGGTCAGGTCTTACTGTTGATACTCATTTACTCCATGTACCTGTGCGAATGCACACCACCAATCATCACCGTGGAATGACAGCTGTCTGCCAGGTACTGTCTCTAAAGCAATACAGTACTGAATAGTCAACAGCAGCGCTCGTAATTCAAGGAGTTCAAAAGTGCGCACGGAAATTTTTCTTACCAGGGACCCCGGCCTGGTACATTTGGCGGATCCGAACTTCCGCCACATTCGCAAGCTTACAGCCAGAGAGGGTCCAAGGCTCCGCGACCAGGCACGAGTAACCGAGGTGGGTTTCCGAGGGGGATACGGGGTAACACGATGATGTCGAGGATGAAAGAAAGCGTGTAACTCGATCTCGTTTAGGTTGTATTGAAATCGGAGATCAAACGCATTGATAAAGAATGAGACCAGATGCAGATCCCCAAACCGAAGCATTTGGTGTCTCGGGAAAGCATGGGGAAAGAAATCACTTTGCATTAATATTAGGCAATCTGAACCAACATCGCACCACCTTGTAAGGCATCTTATGGATAGAATTGAGTAAGTAATTTCCGGATCCTTGACTCCGTGCTCAATAGTGTGCATCAAGTGACTAAAAATTTGGACTTTGCCACTGAAACCGCGAGGTAAGATCAACCAACAAGAATCATGGAAAGAGCCAGTGAGAGTGGGCTGCGGGGTAACATTCTCCATTGTCTCACTCTTCTCCCGTCATCCAGTCATTCACCACCCGCACTAAACAACATCGCTTAGGACGAACGCGAGTTCCGATAGAGGAGCAAATGAGGATCTGGGGGCGGACCTGGGGTTATGAGGTGCTAGTCGGTCCTTACCGTTTATCACTTAGTGCATATGGACTAGGCCATTAGTGCAGGGACTCTACCAATCTCGAACGCGAAAAAGATCAATGTTGCAGCGCTAACATGGTTAGCCACGGAGGACTGTCCTATTCGGGTCTGACGGCGTGGTGGTTCCTTAGGTATCCATGGATGCTGACCAGAGAAACGGTCTGCTTTTCCAGTCCTCTCTAGCCACCGAGTAGCAACCCTAGGCTGAGGATCAACAGACCATAGTCATACTGTCGACTCGAATCAAACAGAGTCCAGACCGACGATCTTACCCCATCCATCCAGACAATGATTAATCCCTCGTTGCGCTTCCCCGGATCCCGGTCACTCATTCGTGATTGGCGACGGGAGACGCCAAAGTACCTTCCTGTAGCATCAGAGTCTGGTGCAGTACGTACTCATAGGGAGTGGCCATGACCTAAGAATAGTCATCCATGGCTAGAATCCAGGAAGCTGCCCCTGATCGCGTCTTTCCTCGGTCCCAAGTCCAAGTCCGTAGATTACTTCCCCCCGTGCATGTGAGGTTTAATCTTAAATCCCTGTACCTGGCCCTATATATACAACCTCCCAGGTCACTGCTCGATCCCTTCTTCCTCTTTGTCTCTCAGATCCCAGAGAAGAAAAATCAGATCCAGTCTTTCGCTTGCTCGGTCGATCCCATTCGTTTGGCTCACTCGATTCTGTCCATCTATACAACTACATTTTTAGATACAACTAATCTATAATACCACCCTTCGTTGGTCAAAATGCGTTTCTCTGCCCTCCTCGTCACTCTCGGCCTCACCGGTGCCCTGGCCACGCCCACTCTGGTCTCTCGTCAGGCCGGTGCCGTCGGTGTCATCTCCGACATCCAGGCCCAGACCTCTGCTCTGGCCTCCGCCGTGTCCTCCTACAACGGTGGTGACCCCTCCGCCGTCAAGTCCGCTTCTGAGAAGCTCGTCAGCACCATCAACTCCGGTGTCGACACCGTCAAGAGCGGCTCTGCCCTCAGCACCGCCGATGCTCTGGCTCTGACCTCCCCCGTCCAGGACCTGACCAAGCAGGTCGAGGACGTCGTCAGCGACCTCATCTCCAAGAAGGACCAGTTCGTCGCCGCCAACGCCGGTGGCACCGTCTACCAGGACCTCCAGGCCCAGTACACCGCCGCCGACAACCTGGCCAAGGCCATCTCTGCCAAGGTCCCCGAGGCCCTCGCCGACATCGCCGCTCAGCTCTCTGCTGGCATCACCACCGCCATCCAGAAGGGTCTCGACGCCTACAAGGACGCCGCCAGCTCCACCGGCACTGCTTCCTCCTCTTCTGCCCCTGCCACTGAGACCGAGACCGCCACCGAGACCTCCACTGCCACCGGCACCGTCACCAAGACGGCCACTTCCACCCCCGTCATCCCCACCGGTACCGCCTCCGGCAGCGCCTCCGCTACCCCTCCACCAGCGCTACCCCCACCAAGGGCGGCTCCGGCTCCAGCACTGGCTCTGCCACCGCCTCCACCAGCACCAACCTCCTCGCCACTGGCGCCGCCAGCAAGGAGCACTTCAGCTACTCTCTCGGCGGTGCCGTCGTCGCTGCCGCCATCGCCGTCGCTTTCTAAGCGCCCCCGTTTCTGACTTTGACTGTTGACGCTTCAGTCAAACACAAGTCGGACGGCGGACGGCGGAGAGCAACGCAATGATGCGATGGGAACGTTGATGATGATCATTCACGAGGCAAGACCAGAGTTCCAACGATCGGTTCATGAGAGCGTTACGCGAGGACAATGGCAATGACACCATCGGGCTTGTCGGCTTTCCATCCGATCTTTGTACTTGTTAGTCCACCGTCGGGTCCGGGTCACTGGCTTGGATCCGTCTGTACGCAATATAGTTTTAATAATTGATATCTCTGTATACATGTCAGTGCATTTCTTTCTTCCGCGTAGCTAGTAGAGTAAATGCTTGACTGTTAGTCCCATTTGCATCAGCAAAGGTTTAGAGTCACTTTGAATGACACTTGTGTTCCGCTTTTGACCGAGGTCGGCAACGTAATATTATGCCGATGAATAATCCCGCATCCCAGGATTGAGATTGACAACAGTGTCGCATATCTCATGGAAGCTTGGTAGGCCTTTGACCCCCAGAATGAGATATACTTCTGTCAAAGTGTACAGCAGAGCGGTATTGGTATGCTACTACTCCTATGGTTCACTCTGAGCCCGAGATGTTCAAAAGTATGGGCGGAGAACTGCGTTCAATCCCAACGAACAGAGAGTCACCTGATTTGCAACAGACGCAGCAATCGGTCAGAGTAACCTGATCCATAAGATAGCATCCCATGAAATGCAAAAGCAATAAACATATGTAAATGAATTGAAATCTGCCGGTAAGAAACGCTACTGTCCGTTCGGCGGGTGTGTATAGAAGACACAACAAAAGGTAAAAAACATGGACACGGGGAGAGTCGAACTCCCGACCTACGAGGATCACAAACGACCTCATAAGCTCGTCGCTCTAACCAACTGAGCTACGCGTCCGTAGTTAGTAATGTTAGTCTAGATTTATAATTCATATCGTCATCCATTTCGGCACACAAATATCATGTTCAAAAGAAATTTTACCAGTGAGCGAAAAATTGTTCGTTGCGGATAAATTTCTCTTCTTGATCCTGCTCGGGTATGAGGATTAGACGATTTGCGAGGGTGATGTGTTGAATTGGATGTCCTCGTTTGCGACCGTATTCAATGCTTGCCAATGGAATACTAGTTCGTTCAACAAGGGGCGTAGCAGAAGTATGAAGGATTTTTGACAACTTTCTTCAGGAGACTAAGATGACAGAGGGACAAAGCCGCTAGAGGTAGGACTTCTAAAGTCTAATTTGCAGAGATTTTCGGTGGTCCCAGTTCGCGCCACATGCGGGTCCATAACGACTCGGGAGTTTGGTTGTGGTGGATTTTGTATCCTGATATCAACTCTATCGTTGCGCTGGGGAGTGTCACCTGGATACTGCTCTGGTTGTAGAGTATTATACATCTTTTGAAGGCTACTGTCTTAAGTGGATTTATGTATTGATGACTATGTGCAGTGATATATATCCATGATGTGTTGCTCCTTTGCATCTGCGCCGGAACGAAGCTTTTCCAGTCTGTGGATTCATTGTTTTCCAACCGATGCCATTCAACGTTGGGAGTAGAAACCGACCGCGATGCACTGACATCTATATAGTTCCTCGAGTCAATTGTATTGTACCCATATGTACGATGCGGGGTCCTCAAGGATTCGGAGAGGTCGAGGTATACGAATTGAAGTAAAGTCCTGTACCAGTATAGTACCCTGATAGAGAGACAAATGAAACGCACCTACACACTGTCTAAGAGAGATACTTCCCGTGACACGGTCACGGCAATAATCTGTCCAATCCGATGTGCCATGTCGACGGACCCGTAGAGGTCAACTGAGAAAGGCCATTAATATATACCTCGAACATGCAGAGATTGGATACTCCGACGAGAATTGTTGTTTGGAACATCCGGGGCTTGCTACTAGGGCCGCGATCACGAAAAGGACACGAAAGCAACTTAAGCTTTGTGCCGCCACTTTTGGCAGGGACAGAGCCTTGCTGAAAAGTATCGAAGAAGCGCGTCAATTCGTTCTCAACAACAACAACTCCCTGAGAAGAGCATGGAATCAACGACATCCACACGCAACCGGCCGCAGTCATCCAGAAATCAACACCGAAGTATTGAAATAGATACCAGCCACACTCAACCTCGGAGCCGAGGTTGCTAAGATATGTCCAGATGCAGGTAATCATGTTCACGTCAACCTTTAACAACGGGACGACATTTGTAATGACCCCGTCCATCGCCAATGTATATATCACTTTCTCTTTGATCGATCCAGAGGACCAGAGACCATGTCCGGGGACGCTTGTAATGTGCCTTGGAACAAAGAGGCGGACGGTGGGGATTGAAGCGATCTTTGAACAACAAAGAAGCTTCAACAGTGACTAAAAACAAGTATTGTTAGCATCCATAACGATTCTTAATGGCAAAATGAAATCTTAATAGCAGCGATATTGTTTTTGTTTTTGCCGGCTCGAGACCGACGGGAAGGAGGTGCTTTGCCCCCAGCCGGGCGCTGCTAACAAGGAGTCGAACCCTGCTCGCCACTCCTACCCAAACCCCCAGGACCCTCAGAACCGCAAGCCCACACAACCGACAACCCGCAAAAAAGTGAAACCCGCATGGCCGGCATATTCGGAAAGATCCGAATGATTCAAAACAAAAAATTCTTGGAACCCGGAATTCCGAGCTCCGAAAGGTAAAGGGACTGCTAAGACGCCAGTCGAGACAGCGAGCCATGGCGAGAAACCAACAGAAGGCAAGGTCCAGGTACAGTAGACAGGCGGTTCGCGGCGACGGCGAAGTATGCAATGTTTGCAACGCCGACGGTAGACACCGGTGTATCCCAAGTTCCATGCAGCCTCGGAGAGACCCAATAGGAAGAGAAACCAGTTGTTTATCATACCTTGGCGACAAAACGAAGACGCTGCCAGTATTGTGCGTGAGACTGCACGATGCAATCCACCAAACAATAGCATGGCGTGAGTGCCAATCTCCTCGGAAGTCGAGACGTCAATACATGAGACCTGTAGCAGTGCATACAAGCGCCTGAATGTCAGGCATCAGCACGACCGGCGGCCCTTATATATAACGTCTCTGGTCGTTCCGTTATCCACCAACCTCGCATACAAGCGCCTGAACGTCAGGCATCAGCAAGATTGATTCAGAGATTGGTCGGAGCAACATATATAGAGTACTAGTCGGTCGAGCCATGTGGGCATACGAAGAACGCACGCTCGCTGTAACATGGGGACACGATATTCTCTAACTCCTATTTCCTTTGCTTTTGATGCCGTCGTTTCTGCAAAGGGGCTGCTACCCCGATGCGACAATGGCAAGAAGCACATCCGTATGACTCTGATCAGGCAGCAGGCGTATGTTCAACTTGTCAAAGGCAGTGCCATGATGACAGTGTCAACTCCCTTGATGAAACCAGGCTCAGGTCGCGCACAATCCCGCGTAGGCAGGATAGCAAGGACACCGCCTTCGTTCAACCGCCTTTCGTCCTACTCATGTTACCAACGAGAGAAGCCTCGCTTCGGGAACAGAAAAAGACGGTAACCAGGTCAGGCTGAAGATCATACACTCAAAGTCAATGCGAGCAGTAACAAGTCAGCAATGTCAATCGACACAACCGCTGCCATCCGGGGCCGGAGGATACGTGGGAGGTCGACGTGAAGACTCGACAACCATGCTCACAGAAGAGATGCAGAAACTGACAACCGACGAATCTTGTGACATATATGAATAAGTTGTACGTCCAGGGCCAGTATCAACTGAGCGAACTGAGGCAGACAAATTCAGTTCCTTCAATCACGCACAATAGCCGAAAGTGCCGAGCAGTGAAACGAGGAAAAGGCCAAGCGGAAGGAGACACGAAGCCAGTCAATCCTCAAAACCACGCACAGTAGCAAATATTAAGCGAGCAGTGAGACGAGGAGAAAACGAAGCGGAGTCAGCTTCAAGTTTGTCAATCCTCATGGAACCATGCCGTTGACGACAGAGACAACTACCCATGGTGGGAATCGAACCCACTGCACAAGACGGGCAACGATCTTGGCCACCCAGCACGCTCTGTCAACGCGCCACCCGGGTTTGGTTTGAGGAAATGTAGGATACTGACTTTCATGCTGACACACAACATGATTCAGATTGCGCCAACATGCTTATTAGTATCCCGTTGATTTGGGTATTAGAGGCATACAGCAACCGACACCCGCTCATGAGTTCATGAGGGAACTTGTCGTCGCCGGGGTGTAATACCCTTGGATCGAGAGAATAAGAAAGGAACAAGGAAAGGAAAGGAAAGGAAAGAAGAGAGAACACACTGACGAAACAAGAGGTTGATTGAAAACACGAGCAGCTAGCTCGAATCGCGTCAACACAGACACGAGACGCGAAACGCGACTACGCTGAGAGATACAGAAAAAGGAGTGTTGTCAGACATCATTTGGACAATGAAATAAAGACATGATTTCTAAATGAGATTCAAGCAACTGCTATACATTCCACAGAGCTTGGTTGTCGTAATTCCTTCTCAGGAGACATGGTAGGTGAGGTGGAGCAGGAGAGGGTAGAGGGGGAAAAGGTCAGTGGGGAGAGGCGGGAAATTTAAAGTGGCCGGGCCGCAATTGTGGGACTAGCCGTTTTCGCCTAGCGCGAATCAAGCGAAGCCATAGATTGAATACCAAGGTACATGGTCAGTTTATCATCAGGTGTCCTGCTGGATTGTGACAGCATTATGGGTAATTGACTTGAGGCTTACCAGTACTTGTGGCAGAAAGATCATCGATCCGTCATAGGCTCGTCGCACATATGCGAGACATGACTAAACGAAGTGAAGAATATGTGAATCTCATTGATATGCACAACGTTTTATATTACTATTTATACCAGCCTAGATCCGTCGACGGCTTTGGCATAACGGTAGCTCGTAGCCGAGAAGAACATGTTCCCTGCTACAGCGATGATCAATCCCCGAGCGTAGACCAGCTGTGATGTTGTCGTACACTTCGCGTTGACCAGAGACTCATATTCCTCGCCTATCTGCCGCTCGGTATCCAATATAATACCGCGAAGGATTGTCTTGGCCAACGAAGAGGAAACATTCATCAAACCCTGGACGACCTTGACAGCGTTAAGAAGAGTTTCTCCGTTCTCCTTTTCGGCAATGACTTCCTTAGGATACGAATATAGATCGTTGGACAATGCACAATGTTTCGCGCAGAGGGAACTCAGGCGTTCAAGAGCTTGTTCGTCGTGATCTGTAACAGAGATATCCGATGCAAATTCCACGCTGCGAAAGACGAGGCTGGGACCATTAGTGCCGCAGTGTAGCGAAGGATCAGAGTGACCTACTCAGCTCCCACATCTTCTATCCGGTACTCCACGTAGTTCATGAGTGTTGGGAAGGCTTTGCTGGGTTGTATCGTCTGTGGCAGGGATCCCCACGATATCATACCGTCCAAAAATCTCCTGCCTTGCGCAGTGTCCTCAGACATGACTTCTTGGGCTACCATGTCAAATGCGGTGTGAGAATGTCGCTCATTATTGTTATACATATTCGGAATGGTTGCGTCGAACTGTTATTGATAAGCACTGAAACATCTGGATAGGAATGGCGCCGGGTCATACATTTCCCGACTCAACAGCATCTGAAGCATTATAAACAGTGGTCAGATTCGTCACAGTACACTGACGGCTTTACTTACCATCATGTATGAAGACGAGCGTATACGCCCTCGCCAGTGCTCTCGTTCTCGATAAGCTTCCTGTTGGGACAACATTCACAGTGAATGAGACAGCCGCGTCGATCACAGCTTCGATGTACTTCTCAGATACATTGCGTGACGGTGCGACAAAGATTGCTCGTAGCAAATCTCTCGCAGCCTCTTCCGCTTCCGCCCAGTACTTGGATTGCAGCGAGGCAGGGAATGATGTAACCCATGGTATTTTCAGACTAGACGGAACAATGCAATTTGCATGTCGCAGTTCGAGCGAGTTCGCGACAGCTTCAGGGTTGAGAAACGAGAAGTAGGATCGTGTCGAAGCAGCTGATTGGTTTTCAACGGGTCGAACGCGTATAATATCTTTCTGATGCAATCCCTATTGCCCAGGTCCGATACCGAAAAATAGCCCGAGGCGCACAAGAAGGATACGTATTGCTTTCTCCGCCATATCGATGTGCGTCTCACTTTCAAAGGTGATATATAGGGACTCAAAGTGGAGTACATGTTGCCATGAGCTTGGAGGCCCGAAATGAACGCGTCAGGGCGGACGCGCTATTGATTGTCCTGATCAGGCACCGGCTTACAAAATCCAAGGTATTCAACTATCGTCAGATCATAACCACGGAGTGTCTTGTCAATCCGTGACACAGAAACAACTACCTCTGTTCCCTTCTGCGTTGGATTCAGAATGCCATGATGTAGTGATGCGCCACGTGATGATAACAAGCTGGGCACCTCTTACTTAACTCGCCACCACGGGCCAACCCACAACGGCTACTCCGTACAGCTCAATGCCACGCATTATATCAACGTAAAAGGTTTACACATATAAAACTCATTGAAGAAAGGGCAAATAAGACAACCACAACAGCAGTAATGAGTATGTACTATTGCTAAGGGCATTAGTATTAATTTGTCCTATTTGAATACCTAAAAGAATAAAGCTAAAATAGCTTGATTCTACATATATCACCTTCATGGTAAATTTCTTGGCATGTAGGTTTGGTATTAATGTAACTATAAGGTATTTATATATACTTACTACAGGCTTATTTGGGCGCATGTAGATAAGCTATATAAGAGATGTCTTATCTCTGCTCTTTGTGGTTGTTGAGTAATTCTATATTCTTATGTTGATTCAATGTGGGAAATTCATTCACGTCGAGGTGATGCGTTGCGTTGAGCTGTAGCCGGCCCAAACAACTTGGTCTGGGTCGGCCCTGGCGACAAGTAACATGTATCCTAGCTCCCCAGAAGTTAGAAAAACATGAATCTATGATCACACATTTCGATTCCGTCATTCTTTCTCGTTGAACCATCAATTCTCATCAATTTCGACCGCGCCTACCATTCTCAGTATCGCGTATTACGGCTCATATCTACCAAACTCCTAGGAAAGTGCGCCTGGCCGCGGACAGAAACCACCTCCAGTTTATCATTGTCTTCTTCTGTGTTTCTTCAACATAATTAATTTCATACGAAGGATTCTGGCAAGCTCTACGCCTCGCACGAGCACGATGGGTAGGCCCGTTTAACTGCTGTTTTTACTATCCATCACCGCTAACGAATAAATGCCAGAAAATCCCTTCACGTGTCCCCGCGTCGATACAATTCAGTGTTTAGCAAGGATTCTCGAGGAACAGCGCGTCGTGCATGTCCGTGGAACCCCGACGTCTGGCAAAACAACGATGGCTGGGCTATTAAAGTCGCACTACGACAGTCAGGGTATACCCAGTGTATACTTTGCAGATTGGGCTTCGGATGGAAGCAGACCAGTGATGAATATACTGGTTGAACAAGCCCGCAGTATTGGTTACACGGTTGATCATACAACGCTTTACAAAGCCGACATTGTCTTCATCATTGACTCAGCTCAGATGACATACCACGACAATGGTTTTTGGCTCGGTCTTGTTAAAACACAAAGCGGAAGAAGGTCTGGCCCACAAATATGCATCTTCAGCAGCTATGGAAGTCCCACCGGGGCCCGTCAGATGCTGTTGTTGGGCGTACACTTGCCTATTTGGGTGTGCAACAGAGAGTTTCGATCACACCATCAAAGATCGAGTTTGCACCAGAAATATCGCTTTTCTATAACAGGGCCGAATTTGACGATGTTGTCGACCGAGCATGTACTGACCCGATTCGCCCCCTCAGACTTGAGCTCAGTGCGCGAGACGTCATATTCACAGTAACAAATGGTCAGCCAGGCAGCGTGAAGTCGGTGTTGAAGCTCGTTGCCCAAGTAAGAGCTCTGTTATACCCTAATATATTGTGACTAACACCGTCTTTCCACTCCCGTAGTGCTATCGTTCTCAACTAAAGCAAAGGGAGATAGAGTCCGTTACGCAGGAACACATTATGAGCCTCCTTGAAAATGAAGACCGGCTTTTCCGATATTTGGCGCAGATGCCCGTACAACGATCTTTTATCAACCGGCGTGAGCTAACAGTGGAAGCTGCTGATATTCTACGTGAAGTACTTGCAAACGGAAGTGTACCCTGGGACCTTACGAATAACGGCGTTCGTCTCTGCTACGAGAAAGGATGGCTCCACTCAGAGCCACTTAGCTGGGATAATCTGGACATCCGCTGCGTATTTCCCACACATCTCCATGCAAAGTATGCCCATGATGCCCCAATTTCACAATGTCAGGTCAAACTAACCTAACAGATACGTGGAACACTTCCTTACGGACTCGCCCTGCCCATTTCCGAGTGAGAAATACCCTGACATCAAGACGTTGACCGCAAGCGTCGTGAAGCAGTTTTCGCCTCGAGCACTTTCCTCTACTACAAGGATTGGGACTGCGGCTGTTATCCGCCCAATTGAAGCTGCATATCAGGATGAGTTTTGCCGTGCAATACATACAGTTCTTGGAACTTCGACAAAGATAACAAGTGAATGGTCGGGAGACAACAGTGGGAGGATTGATTTCAGGCTGGTATCCCATGGATGGGGATTCGAAATACTCAGAGAGGGAGACCGCTTGGCAGAACATTGTGAACGATTTGCACCCGGCGGTCGTTATTACAAATTCGTACAAGATGGTCAGATCAGGGACTGGGTGATCCTTGATTGTCGGACCAGCAGACCTCGGCCATATGGTGGTAAGTGCATTCCACTACCTATTGTATTTCTGTTGCTAAGGTGCTAATCACCCTGCAGGCGCGGGTCACAGCAATCTGTGGCGAGTGGTCTTCGCTCCAGACTTCCTTTCAGCAGAGATCTTGGACTCTTCTAATCACGTTGTATTTGAGAGATTCCCCTTGGCGTCACAGCTTCCTTGTTAACCCCTCTGCCTGCTAATCCAGGCTATGGCAATGAACGGAACACATGGTTTACTGGCTGGGCAAATGGACAATGCATGAGAGCTGGCAACATACTAGAGGCTTTACCTTAGCATCGGTATGACTACTATACTGGCATGGATATACTGGCATTGGTATCCCTACTATGCTAGTATCCGACATGCGTAGTATACTTTTGGTAGCCCTATATGTGATGTTGCTGTGTTTTAGGGAAAAATGATAGTTGATTTCCAGACCAAGTAGCCACAATATGTCCTTGATAAACAATACATAGACATATAAGGTGTGCAGACATCACAGTCCCAATTTAGAAAGGAAAAAAAAATTAAAAAAAAATTGATGTAGCATAAGTCAAGCATAGACTGCAACAAGTAGGGCAAGAATAACAGGCACGGAGTAGTGATCACTCCCTGCCCGACAACAAGAGCAATGCGCAAGTCAACCAGTCCAGCAAATATTTCGAGAATCCAACTGGACCGGCACCAGCATTGTAAGCTCAACAGGCAAGCAATTATCAGTTGCGGTAATACTTCGTTCCCTTCGGCGTTCGATTTAGTTAGCCATTACGCCTCCCGTGAACCCCACCCCACTCCACATCGGGATTCCGATTTCTGTCCATCAAGCCTGACAACTATCATCATCAACTAACAATGAGATCATCATCTCCATACAGCACAAATCCAAACAAAGGAAAACAGAGAGCTCCTCCACGGAAAAAGGCATGTCAGAATTGCACCAGATCCAAAGTACGATGTGGACTGGAAAAGCCTATCTGTTCGCGATGCAGGTCGAAAGGTCGCAGCTGCCAATATCCGCCGGGGCGCGTTGCTGCACCTGAGACTGAGGTCACCAGTACCGCTAACGACGCAGGAGAAGACTATACACCACTTCTTGGTATACAGGGATTTGCAGATACTGCTGTAGCTCCAGAACCTGTGTCTTTGATACCGGAATCTGGTCCAGCTGCGGCTTCCAGGTCTCCTCGTCCTCGAGCTGTAACCAGCGGACAGACCAGACGCGTCGATCTCGTTTTTGCAGATATCGACTTGACCCCTAGTTTAAACGCAGTAGATATTCGAGACAGATGGCTGAGACCGTATCTTCTCCCTCCTCTCGGACGGGACGAGATTCCCAAGGCCTACCATCCATTTACGTTGCAATACATCTCCATAATCCTCAAGACATATCCACGGTATATGCTGAAGGATGGCGGGTTTCCACCAATTATACATCATACGCAAGTCAATACGAATCAGATGCCACAGGATCTGGCCAACTGTTACAGCCTTGTCCGAATGTGGGAGCAAGCGGCTCCAGGAAGCGAGACGATGGTGATGGGCACTGTGGCGGCTGAGATGGAAAGACTGGCAAGTGAGGTAAGCTTTCTCTTAGGTCCCTTTGGATTCTAAACTGATTGTACAGACAACGAGTCAACATGACTACGACCTCCTATGTTCCTTCCAAGCCTACCTTGTCTATACCATCTTGATGTACTTCAGCCCTCTCGGCAGCGTATCCGCAGTAACCGATAAAACCATGATGATCTTAATGGAGCTTGCCTTTCGTACTGCTCAGAATGGCCTATTGTGTACGGCGGAGATAACTCATACGCGGCCAAATTGGGAATCCTGGATCCTGGTCTCGGCCAAACGTCGCGCCATTTACACGATGTACCTGCTCAGCAGTGTTTACAATTCGGATCGGGGTCTACCAAACTTTCTGGCTGACGAAATGAAGGGGGTCTATGTCCCCGAGAGCAGGGTACTATGGGAAGCCACAGACCGAGGAGTATGGGAAAAGGAGTATGACCGGCACCTCCTGGAATGGGAAGATGGGATGCTGGAAATATCCGAGTTATGGCGATCAGCTGAGACTGGCTCGACTGAACAGCGCGAAAGGATCGGAAAATGGATTCGGGGGGTGGACGAGTTTGGTATGATGTTGTTCGCAGTCTGCGCACATATCCATGGTTGTTAGGGAAGTCCTACGGAACTCCGAGAGCAACCATCGGAGCGCCGGAATCGGCAGGCGTCAACATTGTACGACTCGACATAAAACCCGCTCTCGCTCTCCCTTTCTTGCCATAGAAGACTCCTTCTCAAACATCAATTGATTCTCTGAAACATACCAACAACCGCAATGTCGAACAAAACTGTCTACATCACTGACCACTCCCCCTCCGTCCTCCAAACCCACAGCTGGCGCACCGCAACCAACTCTGCCGCCTACCTCGTCCCCTACATCAAACCGAGCATGAAAATCCTTGATATAGGCTGCGGCCCGGGCAGCATCAGCATCGACTTTGCGCGGCTCGTCCCCCAAGGCCACGTCACGGGGATCGAGTACGTCGCCGACTCGCTAGACGCAGCCCGATCCCTCGCCTCCACACAGGGAATCACAAACATCGACTTTCGCGTCGGCGACATCCACTCGCTTGACTTTCCGGACGACACCTTCGACATCGTCCATGTTCACCAGGTGTTACAGCACATCGCGGACCCAGTGCGTGCACTACGGGAAATGCGCCGGGTTGCGAAGAGTGACGGTGGGATTGTTGCAGCAAGGGAGTCGGCATCAATGACGTGGTACCCTGACAACGCGGGAATCGCCGGATGGAAAGAGGTTACAGATCGTATGGGCAAAGCGAAGGGCGGAAATCCGCATCCCGGCCGGTATATCCATGTTTGGGCAGAGGAAGCCGGGTTTAAAAGGACAAGGATCAAGAAAAGTGCTGGGGCATGGTGCTTCAGTAGTCCTGAGGAAAGGCAGTACTGGGGTGGATCAATGGAAGGGAGGATGAGATCGAGTGGGTTTTCGAAGATGGCTGTGGAGGAGGGATATGCGACGGAGGAGGTGTTGGAAAGGATCGCGAATGGATGGAGGGACTTTGTCAAGAACGATCAAGCTTGGTTTGGGTTATTCCATGGGGAAATTCTATGCTGGAAATAATCTAGCATCATCATTGACACGACCATGAACAAGTGGTAGTATGACAATAAAACTTTTAAGATTCCTGATGTAACTGCACGGAGACACCCTCTGGGAACTGCACTTCCTTCAATTCCTCCAGGGTAACATTATCGGGTACAACGAATCTTGAGCCCCAGTCAGCAATATCTCCAACATCGCAGCAAAAAAGAAAACCATACGAAGTCGTATGTATAGGAGGGAGACTTCTCGTCGAAATAAAAAACGTGAACTTATCTGCCCCTTTTGCTGCGAACCCGTCCTTCGTGCTGTCACTGTAATCAGTCGCCAATTCAGATGCGATCGCCGAGTATACATACATTCGTTCAATCTCGCCATTGTGTTTCCGCCATGCTTCGACGCTGTCGTATTGAATGACAAGGCTCTGCTTGGGTTACCTGGGAAATCATGGACACAATTCAAATTAACTCACATATTTTGGCATTTTCAGTTTCGTTCTAGATGAATGTACCAGCAATGTTTGGATAGGCTGATAAATTGTTGAGAAAGTGATTGATCCCGCGGAGCATGTTGCTACTGCTATGATGTCATCACCTCTCTTAAATTCAGATTTGTTTTTAAGATGATTCTCCGCTCAAACTGAAATAAACACCACTGACAATCAATTGCTTAAACGACTTGCCCATATGCAGCATACAACAAAAAATTTATCGAAAACCAGCAGCAATGCATCCAATCCTCACCTCTACCACTACCAGTCATCCAAAGCAGGCGAGTGAGCCCGCTCATGATCCGAACTCGAGCCAGAATGGTACTGCTCCTCCTCCTCCAACCTCTCCACCCGCTCCTTAAGCTCCTCCTCCTCTTCATCCTCACCTATACAAGTCAGTCAGCAACCTATCACATAAATCCACTCAGCAAAGCAAAACTCACGCTTCTCATGCTCCCACAATGCCATACCGGCCGCACCGAGCGCTACACCCGCCACACCACCAGCAATGATCTTCCCCACCCCGCTGGACTTCTTCTTCTCTTCCGGAGGCGGATACTGCCCAGCAGGGGGGTAGTAGCCTCCGTCCTGCGGCGGCGGCGGAGGGGGAGAAGCATAGTAACCCGCCGACTCAGGCGGGGGCCCGCCTAGTCCCCTCGCATGCTCGGAGTCCTGCATGGGCGTCTCCCACTGCGAGCGGCCTGTTGCCGTCTCGACGAAGTATGCGCGGCGGAGACTAGGTTCCCATTCTTGAACCCAGCCGTGGGGGAGGGGTGGTGGGGGATTTGGGGTGGATGGACGGAGGGAGCGGGCGAGGAGCTGTTGTAGGGTGGTCCCTCGTAGCGGGGGCGGGATGGGTCGAAGGAGGAGGGGGAGCGCTCGGGGGAGGACGCTCGTAGGGAGGGCGGTCGTACGAGTGGGAATCCTGGGGTGGGATGTCGTAGGGAGGGCGGTTGTAGGATGGTTGTTGGTGTTGCTGTTGCTCGTAGGGGGACGGTCGTAGGGAGGACGGCCGTAGGTGGGTTGAGGCGGGCCTCCGTAGTAGGTATCTCTTTCTCCGTAGTAGGACATGTTGCTTCGCAATTTGTGTAGTAGTATGTGGTAGTTAAGGCAAGTTCACTAGGTTATATCTAGAAAGAAAGAAAGTAAAAGAGACGAGTTGAGCAGAGCCTAGCCTTTTATGTGGTCCTGATGAGGGGAGGGGACACTCAGTCTATGCATGCATACTCCATACACCTACAGCTCCAAGTTACATTTACCATCGCCGAGTTTGAGTGATTTGTATACAGTCGGCGCGTACAGCCGTTCCGCTTGCATAAATTCGAAGCAGATAGTCGACACTAAGACGTGTATCCACCGGGCTATTAGTTTCGATGGGGACAGTCGATAGTGCAGCAATTAGGCAGATACATTCTGTTTGGCAATGGAACATCAACAATATCTCTAAACCTAGTACTCCATACGGTGTATATCAACGATACCCCTGACTCCTGGCCATCATACCAGCTAATATTATCCCCAATCCACTTCATTCCTCTATACAGACAGCTAACACAATATACATTTTCTTCTAGGCCGTAAACAATCAACCGCTCAACCGGCGGCACCATGCACGAGACCAACCATCTCCTCCCTCTATCACGAACACCAAACCAACCATATGACTCGTCCACCGCAATACAAGAACCAAAACACCTGACAAGTGACAACATCCGCAGTCCTTCTGCGTCGACGCCACATCAAGGCTGGTGTGTGGATCTCGCGAGTCACACCCACAATCCACACCCAATCGG